AATAGCACTGTGATATGTCCTGGTTTGAATCCTTTGGGACTCTATAAGAGATAAACAAACAACCCCAAAATATCATAAAAAGATGCTCAAGCTTGCATTAAGAAATGCAAACTAAAACTGGTGATAACTATGACACAAAAGACTAATGATACCAAGTATTGGCGAGGATGTGGAGCAACTGGAATTCTCTTGTGTTGTTGAAGGGAATACAGAACTGACTCGACCGCTTGGAAGAAGGCTTTGGCAGTTGTTTATCAACATAGGGTTTATAAACACACAGTTACTTGGAAGAATTGAAAAATATATACCCACCAGAACTCTTGTACACAAATATCCATAGCAGCTAAAAACTAGAAACAATCCAAATGCCTGTCAACAGTTGAGTGGATAAACAAGTTGTGGTGCATTCTTGCGCTAGAACACTACTCAGCATTAAAAAAGAATGAAACTACTGATGCAAGAATATGGAATAATCTAAAAAACATTATTCTCGGTGGAAGAGGCAAGACACAAAGGAGTATGGAGAACTTCCAGCAAAAAAGAAGTTCCTGCCTCCAGTTCTTCCTCTAAACAGCCCTCCAGTATGGTGCTGACCATGCATATCTGGGTGTCTGTGTACCCCACCAAGCCCCTGGAAGACGGGCCTGCTTATCACAGAGACAGAGTAGGAGTGCCTTTTCTCTCCTTTATGAGATGAAGGGGAACAGGGTGGGCCTAGATGTAATTGCTTGATACCTAACTTACTGACTCAAATACTGTGGCATATGACAGTCCCGAGTTTTGTGTGGACTTGAACAAGTCCCTCCTCTTCTTTGGGCCCCAGTGTCCTCATTCGTACAATGAGGACCAAGTGATTTCCGAGGGCCCTGCAGCCTTGGATACCTGATGTCATCGTTTCCATTATGCTTTTAATTAGTCCCTCTTGCCCTCCTGGTCCCAGACCTCCCGTGAAGAGACAGGACACAGGGCTCTCCCCTAACCTGTCCTTTTCCTGGGGATCAGTCTCTGACCAGGAAGTGGGAAAGCAGGATTTCCTCTGAGGATGTTCCCTGTGACCCAGACAGTTCCGGTTGGGGAAGCAGAGAGGAGATAAGGGACATCACCCCTGCTTGCAAACCCCTAAAGCCCCCTTCCTTGGGTTTGATGTTTTCTTCCAGGCTGGACTTTGAACTCCTTAAAAACAGGGAATGTGTAATTCAGAGCTGGAAAAAGGCATGTTGGTATCCCTTTCAACAGATACTATTACTCAACATTTGGTGGGGAAAATTGAATTCTCTTTTTAAATTGTGAAATACATTAAGCGTTATAAAAAGTAGGAAATCTCCTTTTCCTCATCTATTCCTGTGGAAATCCTTCAAGGCCCAACTCCAATGATCTTTTACAGAAGCCTTCCCCTCCTCTGGACTTGCAAACCACTTCTCACACCGTATTTCTAAATCATTGCTCATATAATCACAGTATGTCAGAGATACATGGCTCACCCTTCACCTCAAAAATTGGGGAACAAAAGCCTAGTGATATGAGGTGACTTGCCCAATGTCACAGAATTTGGGGCAGAGTGGCCAGAGGAACCCGACTGCTGCTGACTTCTAATTCAGGGTTCTTTCTACTTGTATATTTTACCCCTTTATCTATCTTTGGTTTCCTGTCCCCAACCCCCTCCTCCAATGCTGTGCCTATTCCTACCTCCATGCTTTCCAACAAGCTGTTCCCTCTCTCAGAACTATCACCTCTTCCCCTTCTCTTCCCTATTGCTCCTGCAAGATTCTGGAAAACCCCAGATTGGTCAGAATAACCCTCCTCCAAGCTTCTCTTAATCTATTCTCCCATGTTAGTTTTATTATAAGCACCGGCCTCTCTGCATTGCTAATGTTTGCATGCCTGGCCCCCATTAGATAGAATTCCTACAGGCAAATCTTGTTCATCACCTTATGCTCAGCACCCAGCTGAGCCCAGCAGAACCAACATTAGATACCTGTTGAATGACTAGGAGTAAAACAGATGCTGGTGGGGACCGGAAGCATGGAGGGAGTGGCTGCTGCTGGGCTAGAAGCTATGGAAGGACACTAGATTAACTATAAATGTGGGACCTTGGCCCACTTATACCTTATTGATGTCTGTCTCATCATCTGAAAAAGGGGTTAATGACACTGCCATACATCCTTCAGTCGGGTCTTGCGTTAATATGAGGAACTGTGCAGGAAAGCACACTTAGAAAAGTGTGAAGCCGTCTGCCAACCTAAGACATTATCACTGCATTTATTTTGCAGGCATAAAGGCCTGTCTCATCTAGGAGGCTAGCAAAGGTCCTGCCCTTAGGAGTAATGTCTAGAAAATAAAGGCACAGGCTGGCCAGCCGTGGCTCAGCGGTTGAGCGTCAACCTGGGATCCAGGAGATGGCGGTTCGATTCCGGGTCAGGGCACATGCCCGGGTTGCGGGCTCGATCCCCATTTGGGGGCGTACAGGAGGCAGCTGATTAATGATTCTCTCATCATTGATGTTTCTCTCTCTTTTTCCCTCTCCCTTCCTCTCTCTGAAATCAATATATATATATATATTTTTTAAATGTTTAAAAAAAAGGCACAGAAAAATCTTTTGTTCCTCCAATTTCCTGGAGCCCTTACAGTAGACTCAGGAGGAGGTTACTACAATGAAAATCATTGAAGTGAACATTTTAACATTAAATAGATAGCTGGGGTTGCCTCCTTCAGGACTCATGGGTAAAAAAATAGTCATTTCTGGTCTTGACTAAAGGGCAAGGGGACTCCTTCTTGAGGGAGATAGAGTAGGGCAGCTTGGAGAGCAGTGTATATTTGAAGACAGCATTGACTGTAATGTTCAAAGTCATTCCTTCAGTTAAAGATGTTTTTTGTAGGAAGCTCTTCCTGAATTCCTCAGATCTCGGAGAAGTTGTTTTCCCAGTGGCTTAATAAGAGCTTGAGCTCTGGAGTTATACTTGAATCTTTTATAGCAACTTGGGTAAGTTACTTCCTTAAGGCTGTTCCTCATCTGTGAGGATGACAATCACCAGTTGTGGTCAGCCGGGAGGCTTAAGTGAACTAACATACATTAAGCTCTGCACAGCGCCGTGTGAGCACATGGTGAGTCCGGAAGAGATGGGAGCTATCATTGCACTGCCGGGCTCCTCAGTCTGGATCACTGGTTTTGGCTTTTCTTCATAGACTGTTGTGTGACTATTTCCAGGTGTATCTGTTTTCCCGTCTTTACAGCTGGCAGAGGGCAAGGCTCATGTCTAACCTGTCTACACCCACTTCTGCAGGGCTCTAGCACAGGCAGGGCAAGGCAGAGGACAAGTGAGCATGGAGTAATTAGTCGCTGAGGAGCTCAGAGGTTGAGTGAGGGGACATTTGTTGGGTGGGTATGGGGGGGTGATGCCAAGTGGCCAGGACCCAGACCAGTGGGTATGTTTCTGGATGACAGAAGTTCCATCGTTTCCTTATTTCATTTATAGTAACATACCCATATCTATAAACAGTATGCTGGGGACTGGATGAAAGAAAAACATTCAGAGAAATGTCACTGAGAGGGAATCATTTTGTCTTTTAGTCCAATTTTCCCAGTACTAATGCTTTTCTCAGAAATGCCTAGTTTGCCAAGTAACTTCCCATAGTAAAACACTCTTCTTAGAGAACTTTCTAGAGTAGGCTTCTGTGATGGTCCCTTTTCTCTGGACATGTATTTAGTAGAAAGAGAGACATGTTTTGTTGAATTAATGTGCAGTCTAAATTCACTCTCCAAACTGCTTAAGAGTCCTCTCAGAGGCCTTAAATTAGACGTGGTAAGAGAAGTGATGGAATTCGATTTTGCCTAAAAAGCCTCAGGTTCAATTTTTATTGTTCAGATAGAGAGCTGCTTTAGTTTAGTGGGTTCCCAGTGATAGTGGTATAGCTGATACTGTTATTTAATTCACTAACATTCCCTGTTTTTTTCCAGTAATGTGCAATATAAATTGTACCTACATTCTCTTGGGTGAAACACTGAGGGCTAAAAGTTAAACAGAACACACGGTGCTCTGTTAAACAGTGGCACTGACAATTCTGTTAACATTTTACTCCAATGAAGTCCATAAGTGGACTTTCATGCTACTTATTAAATTAACTAAAGCCTCAAACAATGCCTATGGAAACAAAGGGAAACACAGAATCATCTTTGCCATTTACTCATCTTAATTTTAACCTGAAAGAGCAACGCTAAAGGAAAAGATGCACAAATGGTCCCCTGGCTCCAGTGGGGAACAGCAGAGCCACCATGTTGGGTTGGAAAGTATTTTAGAGATCCAAAGTCCATTTCTTTCCAGTTTATACATCACACTTTATATAAGGCAATGACACCTTAATTTAACTTCAACAGAAGTTAAATCTCAAATGAATGAGGATTTTTTTCATTTATATTCAGTAGTAACTTAAAACTTAATATTTAAGAAGGTGGGGGTGGAAGGGAAGCAACTATTGATACATTCAAAAACTTGGACACATCTCAAGGACATTATGCTGAATGAAAACCAATTTCAAAAAGCTGCATACTATGAATCCACTTATATTAAGATTCTCAAAATGACAAAATTCTAGTAATAGAGAACAGACCACTTATTGTTAGGGGTTAGGGTTGGAAGGAGGGTAGAACTAGTTTCTTTGGGGTGATGGAACAGTTCTTTCTGTATGCTGACTGTGGTGGCGGTTATGTAAAGCTATAATAGTGATAAAATTTCATAGAGCTATATACCAAAAGGTCAATCAATGAGTGGGTGTAGAAACTTGTGAAACCTGAAAGGTCTGTGAAACCTGAAAAGTTACTAATACTATACCCAATGCCAATTTCTTGATTTAAATAATTTATCATGGTCATCTAAGATATTACTTATCATTGGAGGTCACTGGGTGCAGGGTACACCCGAATTCTGTACTACTTTTGTAAATTTCTAGGGTCTAAAGTTTTTTTTAAAGAGGGGGAGGATATGCTATAGCAGAGGACAAAGGAGAACAGTCAATCTAGACATTTTTATTAAATTTAATAGATATTTTAGTTCTATCAAAAAATTAAAGCATTTGAAAGACAAAGTTTATAAAACACTCATACCCAGTAATTTTCTTATTCTATGATTGTGCTATATGTTGAACATGTTACATTACTTCAATTCACTATATAGCAAAAGTTTTACTTCCACAGGATTTAACAAATATAGATCTTAAGAGGACATATACACTCCTTGAATAAAAAGATCTTAAATTATTTTTTAAAAACAAAACTTCTCCCTTAAATTAAGGGTTGATTTAGCTAATTTAGTCAAGGTCATGATGACTTTATGCTCTTTTAGGTGATACTGGCTAGATGCAGAGATGAAACATGCTAGGAAAATACTTTTCAAAATGTACAGTATAAAGCGCAGCTCAGATCCAGGGTTGGATAGTGTGTTTACCTAAATTTGTTGAAACAACTATTCTCAGGGTTTGTTTTTTAAAAAGGTTTCAGTGACACTGAAAGCTCTCTAACAAAGAGAACTTAGCCATACTACTAGCCAGCCATCTTATAGACAATCAGGTCACTTGCTCAGCTTTTTGAAATCAGCTGTTACCAAAAAACAGGGTGAGCCCTAGAATAATTAGGAATCCTCAAACTACCAAAAGGCTCTGGCTTCTCTAAGTGTCTTCAGAAGATACCCTGTCCTCATATCAGGAGGGCAACAAGTTAAAGGTTTAAAATAATTTGGGCAACTGTCTGAGACGCTTTACATCTAAAAAGGTGCCTACAGAATTCATACTATTCATTTGCTTTAAAGTTTCAGAAGGTTTCAAACTTTCAGGAAAAAATGGAGTGTCCCTTTCATTTTCTTTGTCAGGATGTTGGGTAAACTCTGCTTTTCCAGTTCGGAGGTTCACTGCAGGACTTGATTTAATGTTCTTTAATAAGCAAGCTGGGTTTTCATTGAACCGCTGTGCTGCTTTTGGCTGACCAACTGCATTTGTAATATTTCTCAGTACTGACATATCTGTGGGGGTACCCAAGGATTCACAGTTATTACAATTAATTATTTCACAGGCATTCCTAGAAGGCTCCTTCTGACAATCAAGTTGCTCAGGTACGGATGTGAGGTTTTGATTCAATAACTGTTCACTCTTGTTTTCTGTGTTCTTTGGAGGCTCCTCTTCATCTTCACTACTTTCACTGCTTTGTATGAGTCCATATCTCTTCAAATATTTTTTGGTTGCAAATGACATGTTGTTTGGTGAAATTAAACTAAGCCCCACTGTGTTCCTGTCTGTATTAATATGTAGAAGGCTAAAGGATGAGTCACCGTTATTTTGGTTTGATCGAGTGAAAGACAGTTGTGACAGCTGATTTTCATTTAAATATTTCAGAGCTATAGCATTTGCCTCCATGCTCAAATCCACACTGTTAGGGCTTAAGCCACTCATGCCAACATTAGCAAATGACATGTAGTTTAATCCAGAGATCACTGCTTCAGGGCTGATACACGCCAACACACTGAAAGACACAATGGAGTAGGCCATCATTTATCTTATTTTGAGTACCAAATAGTGTTATTCTAAATGTGTTCCATTCTATGACAGTAACAAACGGTCTTCAGCTTTAAGCCTCATGGTACTTTTTAGCTGAGTGCTAAGTCTTGATGATCCAGATACATTCAAGGGATAAATATGGTAATCTAGAAGGCAATCTATGATTCACAGACTGAAAGAGGAACACAAATTAATTTTCCTAAATTTAAACAACAGTCATGGTTTTAAGACAAAATACAGGCTCCAAACTGTAAAAGTCATTGGGTAAAGTAAATATTGGTAAAGTAAAAAAGTGTAAACAAAAATAAAACACACTTGATAAAATTACAAGCTCTGGCAAATAGCTCAGAATATTAAATTTTTCATAGTTGAAGAATTCTATCTATAATGAATAAAAACATCAACCAGTCTCTGTCTATGGACTAATGTGTGTGCGTTGATTTTCTTTCATTAGGTATAACCTTCAACTCACTTTGGCTGTGTTATCTCATTAATGTTAACTTGTTGACTTACTTTCCCCTTTATATCATATATAAATAATAGCTGCTAATTTTTATGGATGTCCTTTTATGTGCCAGCACTTTGCTAAACACTATCTTATTTAATCCCACAGAAACCTTTCTCAGGGAGGTCATCCATATCAAACATCTCAACTTTATTGTCTATTCCAATACCTCCCATTTCCCTTCCCCTACTTTCCTATTTTCTCCTTAGCACTTATGGCTTTCCATAAATACCTAACTCACATTTCTTATTTATTGTCTAGCTCCCTCATGAAAGCCCAGGAATTTTTGTCTGTTTCTGTCTCCCACTGCAGTATCCCTTGGTGCCTGGTAGCAGGCACTCAAAAAATATTTACCAAATGAATAAAAGAAGCAGGTACTATTATTATCTTTATTTTACCATTGAGAAAATTGAGGAATCTCCTTAAGTTGAACAGCTAGTGACTGGCAAGCTGAGATCAGGCTCTATGCCCACCATTCCATTATACTGTATTCAGCAACTTATATTTTGCTATCAGTTTTTCTGTTCCTTAAAAATTAGAGTCTTTTGTGTACTATTTGTTGTGGTAAACAGTATACTCTAGTCACAGAACAGGCTATGACTTTCCATATCATTCAATGAAGAAATTCATCTGTTTTGTATGTGCCTGCCACCATGTGTGTCCTTACCCCTACAAAACCCAAGTAACTATCAGGTATTTTCATTCTCATCATTAATATTCCCTGAAACCAGTGATGCCATCACCAAGCGATGGGAAAGCATGCTCAATAATGCTGGCCTTTGTAAGGAATTCTTCCTCAACCTTTAATGCTTTGGAGACTGTCAGAAAAAGATGAGAGAGATACTACCAATTTATCTAGACATTGTTCTTTTAGGATGTATTATAATGATAATATCTGCTGAATATACAGTCCTTTTCTACTTTCTTTGCATATTTCCTAAAATTATAAGCAGTTTGCATATTAAATCAGAGAACTTGTGCATACTAAAAATATATATCTATAGATATTAATGTAAATCATTTGAAAAAGCAAATAAAAACTTGTAATTCAGTAAGTTCATTATATACTAAAATGTGTTAATTTCTATGTTTCACACTAGAAACATTAAAATAGGGTGGCCACTGTGAAGAAACAGGTTACTTAAAAACTACTGCCTATAGGCAGCCATGCTAAACGTAAGGGTTCCACATAGATAGCAGTGATCTGTGCGTTCCAACCAATGCTATATAGTCTCTGTCTCACAAATGCTAACCTCACTCCCCTACCCTGTTGGCAGGAAAATAAACTGGTACAACTGTTTTGGCAGGCAATGACAATATCTACCAAAACCTCACATGCACGCATCCTTTGATCCTGCCTACCTGTAGGAATCTATCCCGCAAAGATACTTGTAAAAGTAGTAGAATGATGTTCACTTAGCATTGTTTGAGATAAGAAATAAGAGATTCAGACTAAAAGGTCATTAATAGACGACTAGGGTTCACTATATTATAGTACATGGGTACCACAGAATTTTATGCAGCTGTTTAAATGCATGAGAAAGAACTGCTTGTGCCTATAAAGAAAAGTAAGCTATAAACGTTAAGCAAGAAAACCGAAATCATCACACTCATCACACATGTATATACTTGAACATTTCTAGAAGAATATAAAACAAACCAGAGAAGTAACCTTGGAAGAGTCAGACTGAGAAGTTTGGGGAGTAGGGGCTCTTATACTGTATCTGATATTCTTGTGTATTATTTGATATATTTTTTTAAATCATGAGACTATTACTTTTGTAACTAAAATACAGCAACAAAAATAATTAACAGAAAACATGCTAACCCGAACAATGTAATTTACAGATTTTACCCTCTTTAAAAATAAAAATGTGCTAAGGTCATCTTCGATGAAGAGGAATCTGAACAGAACATACAAGTTGGAACTGGTGAGCAACAGGTAAGGCCCACATGACCATACTCTTGCCTTTCAGATGGTACAACTGCCTATATCCAGAAGCTGGCAGACACTATCCCTCCAGGAACTTTCCAGACACCAGAATGAATAAAAGCTCATTTTTCTTTCCCCAAGACTCCCAGAGCTTTTCATTGGCATCTTTACCCAGGAGACATCCCACAATATCTCTGTAATTACTTATGTAACCCCCTCTCCTACTAAAATGAAGAATATGATTTCTTATTCATCAGACATTTAGCAGGCCCTGAACAAATGATAAATCAATTGAACTGAGTGGCAAGCTTATACCTGTTCTCATGAGACTGCTGCAATACATTTAAAACTTATTCACCCTTTGAAACAAAGTTTAAAATTACCTGGCGTGATCCACTTTATGTGCATTTTTCTTCACTTTAGTGGGAGAATCAATTTTTACACCAAGGTTTCTTAGTTGCTTAAGGGTTGCATTAAGAACACAATCTTTGTCCACCAGGCCTGAATCATGGTTTTTTTTCTTTGCATGGTAAACTTTTGGGGTTCTGGTGCATTCATGGCTAATAATTACTGCTTTGGTAGATGGCTGCTCAGTTTCTTTGGAGGAGTTACTTAATAGGTGGTTCACTTGACCCTGATGAAAAGGAAAAAGGCATACTTGAAAAATGACTGTTAACAATCTTAGAAAACAAAAATGTAAATAATAGTATAAATAAGGCCACGAACAAGTAAAATAGCATCTGAAGTATCAAGAACATTTGAAAGTATTACAGGTTTTTAAATAAAAGCAGCCCATCCTAATGAATGATTCCATCAGGCCCTAGAGGAAACTTAGAATGTCTCTTCATGGGTGGTGGGCACACAATGGAATACACAGATCATGTATCATAAGAATGTACACTTGAAACCTATATAATCTTATTAACCAATGTCACCCAAATAAATTTAAAAATGAAATAAAAATGATTCAAAGGGAGGAAAATAATAATAAACTTCCATTTTCTTGCATCAACATATCTCAAAAGTAAATTCTCAACATCTGTGAATAAAGTTTCTGTCCTGATTTTAAAAAAAAGAAAAAAGAATGTCTGTTCAGAACTTGTTCATTTTAATAAAACCAATAGATTGAGAGTAGTATTTCAAGTGTTTTCAGGACTTACAGTAAATTCTTTTTTTTTTTTTTTTAATTTTTACTGTTTCTTTCTTTTTTTTTAATATATCTTTATTGATTTCAGAGAGAGGAAAGGAGAGGGAGAGAGGGAGATAGAAACATCAATGATTTGAGAGTCATTGATCGGCTGCAGCCCACAACCTGGGCATGTGCCCTGACCGGGAATCGAACCCCAATCGCCTGGATCCTAGGTCGATGCTCAACCACTGAGCCACGCCCGGTCGGGCTACAGTAAATTCTTTAACAAAAGTTTTAAATCATGCTCTCATTTGAAAAATGACGTTTCAGTTATACCTTTCGTAGATCTCTATGACCTTCAGAATCTGACTCCTTTCTTTTCTCGCTCTGAGTGAGAATGAATGCTATCTCTGTCCTCCTGGCATTAAAGCATATTTCATTCGATGAGCACACAGGTGCAGTCTAGCACGTAGCAGGCAAATAATAAATGTGTTCACTGAGGAATACTTAGAGGCCTGTGAAATAGGCGTAATTAGCCTTTGATTGCAATGAAGAAACCGAATGTTCCAAAGTCTACAATTTGGATGGAAGTGACAGCCAGGGTTATGTGACCTTCATGACCCAGTTCACATTCGAACTTTTCCAAGACAACTATTTCCTCCAATCAGAATTATCCCTTTTTAGTTTGTGCTGCCTTTGCTTACAGCACTTCTCCACCTGCCCTGTGTTTGTTACTGGTATCCATGTGTTATTTCCCCTAGGTTCTCAAGAGCAGAGACTGTGATCTTCATCTTTTATATTATCTACTTTACTTAGTTCACTTTCTTAGAATAGGCTAAGTACTCAACAAAATCCTGCTTGCCCAAACTGAAATCAGTAAATATTATCATAAATATTCTACTTCTTTCCAATGTTCAAACTTCCTGCAAACTCTTGCTTGTTTTTTATGGTACTAACTTCAGTCTAAATGTGGTCTAATATCAACATTTATGTTTTTAAAATAAGGCTTTTTATCCTGGCCATCTAAGTACCTAATAACTGGCAAGCTTACAGTAAATTACTGAATTTAGGTTATTATAATTTATGAAAAGCTAAAAGAAAGAAATGATATATCATTAATTTGTAGAAAATCTTTTTATATCAAGGTCCCAATCAGCTTAAAGATAGAAAAGGCCTGATTAGTACATCCTAGACTAAATAACCATCTCACAGGAGATGAAATGCTTTACATTTTCTTACCAATAAATCCTGGTATATTTTCTGGTTATCTGTATTTTGATGAGGCAAGGGTTGCATTACTTGCTCAATTTTTGGTTCCCCTGAAGTTTCAGAGTTGTTACTAGCACCCTCTGTTGGTCCACTCTGTAAGCACATGCTTGCGCGCTCTGCCACCAGGGAATTGGGAAAGACCACAGGCACATCAGGTTCTTTTCTGACAACTGGGGAAGAGCTGCTTGAAAGGATATATATAATGTAAGTGTTAGTTCTCAAGTTCACATATATTTGAAGTGCAATAACTCTGGAAGAAAGAGGTAAGACTCAGGCAGCATTCTGGTTTGTATTTTCAGCTCTTAGTGATAAGCATCTACTCTTGATAGGCTGATATAAGCTGGGTCATGATATCTTTTTGAGTTATAGTATTTATAATATATTTAGACAACTTTCTTGGAAATTTGGAAAACAACCTGTTGATTTCTCCTGAACTTGATGCAATAAAAATTTTTAGAGTTTAAAGATACTAAAGGCTTATCTAGCATTTTTTAGATACTCTAAAAATTTTTAATATATTATTTGTTTACTTCAAGTTTTAAAACATAGTTAAGATCCTTGTCAAATGAGTTCCTAAGCCGCCATTTATAATCACATTACATACTTGGTGGTATTTTTCTTTTTTATGCTTTCATGTATTTTTCAAATTCTGTACAATAAGCATTTATTACTTTCAAAATTGGAATATGTACATTAAAAATGGCAATGGGAAGCATTATTTTAAAACATTTCTTGTAAGAAGAGTAATCTGTGGTTATTGCAGAAAATAGAGAAAAGTCATAATAAATATTAGCTGGCAGAAAGGGCCAGGCACTGTTTAAAGTACACCATCTCATATAATCCTTACCAAAAAGACCTATGGGATAGATACTACATTTTATCCCTATTTGACAGATGAGGAAACTGAGGCACAAAGGTTAGAGTTAGATGACTGCTTAAAGTTATACAAAGTATAAAGAAAATAAAAGTCACAGGTAATTTAATACCTAGTGATAACCACTGTTAACATTTCATATATTTGGATCTATGCTTTTTTTCTATAAATATATATTTTTTCTGAAAAACTGTATTATAGCTTTGGAAGCTGCTTTTAAAAACCTAATGTTATATCATGAGTATCTTCCCCTTTTGTTAAGTATTTTTAAGAATAAGTTTTAATCTTTACATATTATTTCATTTTACAGATATGGTATGATTTTTCTAATCATACTTCTTTAAAACTCAGCTTATTTTCAATTTTTTCCATATTGTTTGATTTTAACTTGATATGAAGCGCCAAACACTCATTTGGTACATGAGAACCTCAATAAAAATTAGCTGAAATGAATCTTAAATTCTAAGAAAAAAGTCAATAAATTTGACTACCTAAAGTAAAAAATCATTACATGGCAAAAAAACATCAAACAAGGTCAAAAGACAACTGATAGACTGGAAGAAAATATTCACAACATATATCACAATCAGCTAACATCTCTAATATATAAAGAACACTTAAAAATTGAGGGGTAAAGGACAAAACTCTAATAGAAAATGGTATAAGAAAGGCAAGCAGATAATTCACAAATATATCAAAATGACTCTCAACATGAAAAAATGATTCAACTCATTTATAAGTTTAAAAATGAAAATTAAAACAATACCAAGATGCCATTTATCACTAATCAGACAGGTAAAAAAATTTTTAAAAAAATATGACAGCATATTTTTTTGCCATGGCTGTTGGGGGGACAGATAATGTCATACACTGCTGATGAGAATGCAAACTGGTACAACCCTTCTGCAGGGAAATTTGGTAATACTTAACAAAACTACATATGCAAGTAACTTTGGATGCAGGAATTCCCCTTCTAAAACAATTCAAAAATACACATGAACAAAGTAATTCACTGTAGTTTTGTTTATAGTTGAAAAATATTAGAAACAGTCTAAATGCTCATAAATAGGAGAATGTTTTGTTAAACTATGGTACATCCACACAATGGGATATTATACAGCTATTAAAAATGAAGACGATCTCTAGGAATCTATTTGGAGTGATTTCCAATATACACTGCCAAATGAAAAGAGAAGAGTTTAGGAGAGTACCTAAGGCATGCTACTTTTCTACACTTCCTGTAAGAAAGAAAGAACATAAAATACAGATATATGTGCTCATTTGTACAAAAGAAATACAGGAAGGATAAGCCAGTAACCAAAGAGATAGGGTGGGAAAAGAGGTGGAAAAAGGAGAATTTGTTTCACATACTGACAAAACAAATGAAGTCAACCAGAATATGGAGGGACCTCAAGATGGAATACAAACAGTAACATCTAATGGCACTGCAAACAAATAACACAACCACATAAGGGAACGGGGAAGAAAAACTAACCGAAGTAACTATGAAAAAAGGTATTTTCATTGGATATTGTAAGGCTAAAGATAAAAACTGTAAACAAATATACTCTAGTAAATTCAGAATTCTTAGTAATTCTGAAACTACTTTATGTGTATGCTAGGATCGAACAACTAAGCATAGTGTACATAACAAGAGCCAGGTTTCTCACTGCTGCGGACAGAAGTTTTAAATAAGAAAAAGGCATGTAGGATTGGAATCAGAGGATTGGTATGAAGTCAAGGATTTTCAAGTACAGATAGATACATATGGAAATAAATGTAGATATAGATGTATGCATGAGTTAGCATGCACATGAGTTAGATCACCAAAAGAATCTTAGAATTTAAAAAAAAAAAGTAGGATGAATATTGAATCAGAGGTGCCTTACTTGGATACAGAAAGTGGCTGATTAAATTCTTCTTCCACAGCAATGTTGCTCTCTTCAAAACTCGGAATATCAACTGCTTTTAATGAAGATGCACTACTTGGAGGACTAGTGACTTCATTATTAATAACAACAGAAAAATTCATGTCCTCACTGGAAATCTTAGTATCATCTTGCTTCAACTGAGAGTCAGGCTTCTGATGATCACCTGTTGCATTCCAAAACAAGCTAGCACCTGGAGATTAAATGTTTTAACAGATACTGAAACAAATATTCCACTACAAAAGTAATTCTCTGACAAACCTTTGTTAAGTAAGACTAGTTAAATTATTTTAACACAGTTACCTAAAACTGTTTTCAGATTATATTTCCTCAGAAATGTCAGTTAAGTGGAAGGGGAAAAGATAGAAAACTGGGGTACAAAAGGAGAGGAGACATTCTGGGCCCTGATTCTTCAAGAGGTGCAGCTCTCAAATGATGTGGTTTACATATTAAGATTTTTAATGCAATTGTGTGTGTGTGTGTGTGTGTAAAACTGCTGTTCTGAAAAACAGGAGAAAATATGTAAAATACAAATCCCTAGGCTCTCTGATTTTGATACTTAAATGCAATATATATATATTTTTTTAATAAGCCTTTATTGATTTCAGAGAGAGGAAGGGAGGGGGAGAGAGAAAGATAGAAACATCAATGATGAGGGAGTCATTGATCGGCTGCCCCCTGCGTGCCCCTTGCTGGGGATCCAGCCCAAAACCCAGGCATGTGCCCTGATGAGGAATCAAGCCTCAATCTCCTGGGTCATAGGTCAATGTTCAACCGCTGAGCCATGCTGGCTGGGAAAAACACAATATTTATAAAGTTGTATTAGGGATGTTTCAGGCATGTATTTAAAAATCAAATGTTTCCAAACTTTATGGATCAGTTGCACAATTATTTGCAGAACTATTTGCATGTATTATTACTTGCTTGCTATTTTTGTCAACTCACTTTCTTTTTACATAGTTTCATCATTTCCAAGAAATCACAGATCTGAAGCATTATATTTTTCCAGGATTCCTAAGAATAAATATATTGCCAAAGTATAAAATATTCACCTATATACCACCCCAAGCCAACTTTTGAACCTCAGTGGTATACATTCTACAATTTGGGAAATACGGCGATATAAAATGATTTAAAGAAATAGTTAAAACCAAAAAGTAAATCCAAGTCAAAATGGATTCTCCTTTGAGGGCCAACTTGGATAATTTTATGAAAATAAATTAATAAAAGCATGATTTAATCTTGTATTCAACTAAACATTAAAAATCACATTACCATTATATATTTTTCAAAATCAAGAGACCAACATTGGTACATTACTATTAATTCATACGGTAGACTTTATTTGGGTTTCAGCAATTTTTCCACTAATGTTCTTTTTCTGTTCCATAATCCAATCCAAGATATCACAATGCATTTAGCTAGAGTAACTTTTGAATCTCCCTCTTCCTCAACTGCTACATCCAATTAGTTATCAAATAGTATCAATATCTTACATGACTCTTCTTCATTCTTATCAATCACTACCCTATATACTAGACATCTTGTTAGACCCTGGGGACACAAAGTTGATCTTGAAGATCTCATGGTGGTGGTGAGTAAACATGTAAGCAAACATGTCATTTACATTACTGATTGTTTTAAGGCCTCCAAATAAAGTAGATAGTCCTTTGTGAAAGATGTAAAAAAGGCTCTCCATAACATTGTAATGTAGGGTATTGAACAACTCAGAGCCTTGTGTTTGTTCACTGAGCCCGTACTATTTTCTCTACCTAATCTGTGAATTCCACCTACTAAAATCCTACATACCCTTCAAGGCCCATTTTCAATTAACAGTGCATAGATGAAGCCTTCCCTGATCCCTCAAACCATAGATGATTTCTCTTATTAAAACTGGGTCCAGCCTGAGAAAGTAGCAAAAACAATGTATTATGTTGTGTAGTTTCATATCTGTTTTCAGGTATAGTTTTATTTTACAAAGACTTTAAAAAGTTACATTCTCATTACCTGTATTTTGGTTCTATTTGAACCATGCACCAATTTCAATGTAAAAACATTTTAAAGTAGACATAAAAAGCATTTAAAAAAATTCCTTGCAAATGAAAAAAAAAGAAAAGAAAGAAATTACCTGTGCTCACGGCAATGCTTACACTTTTTCTCATGTGTAAACCAGGGGACGACTGTGCTTCCATGGAAACCAATTCCACTGGTCTTCCAGTCTGCCCTGTGTCTTGAGGGGTGGTTGTCTTTGGGGAACAGGGCTGAAGAGACTGTGCTTCTAATAAACGCTGAATCTGTATCAATTAAAAACATACTTTAAACTGACAGGGAAGTAATCAACAAAATTGGCAGCTGAATTTAAATATGAATTACATAGTGCCCCAGTTATAAATAACTGAAATTTATTTTCTTACATTTCAACTAGATAATACCATAAACTTATTCAATGTATTAAATCACTAACATTCGTTATTAAGAAACACTTTGGGCTATTTGTAAATTTAAAAGTGATAACAGCCCAGCCAGCGTGGCTCAGAGGTTGAGCATCAACCTATGACCCACAAGATTGAGGTTTGATTCCTGGTCAGGGCACATGCCCGGGTTGCGGGCTCAGTCCCCAGTATGGGGTGTACAGGAGGCAGCCGATCAATGACTCTCTCATCATTGATGTTTCTATCTCTCTCTTCCTCTCCCTTTCTCTCTCTGAAATCAATAAAGACATATTAAAAAATAAAATAAAATAGAAAACATACAAATGTTTAGATTAGCATTCATAAATTGACACTCATGTAGAAAAGCCTAAATGTTAACAATTCAATCCTACATTTTACTCCTGTTTCACTTAAAAATCAAATTCATTGTTTGCAATAGCAGAAACTTCAAACTGCTGAAATAATAGATCAATTAGAAAATTGGTTATACTTCATTACAACAAAATCCTATGCAGGGTAAGACAGTTCTATATACACTATATAGAAAATGTGTTATACTTTTAAAAAATTTAAATGTTACCTAAAAAAGTTTTTAAAAATTTACATGAGCAAAATATTACATGTATTTATCATAAAGCATTTTCTGTATCATATTTTATATTATCTAAGTATAATGATTCAGATAATCTAGATCAGAGCCAGTAATCTATAATTTATATTTTAATTAAATAAATCCCAAATAACTGAGATTTTTAGCCTCTATAAATCTTTTAAAAAGAAAAAAATGAGAAGCTTTATTTATTTATTTTTTTAAAAAATATATCTTTATTGATTTCAGAGAGAGGAAAGGAGAGGGACAGAGAGAGGTAGAAACATCAATGATGAGAGAGTCATTGGTCAGCTGCAGCCCGCAACCGGGCATGTGCCCTGACCGGGAATAGAACCCCGATGGCCTGGATCCTAGGTTGACGCTCAACCGCTGAGCCATGCCCGGCCGGGCAGAAGCTTTACTTTAATGTGAAGTATTAAGCTACACTAAAAGATTTGCCGAATGTTTATAATAATTTGTTAAAATCCAACTTACATTTTACAATTTCAATTAATTTGCCTAATTTGAAAAAAACAGCAAAGCTCAATTTTTCTCAGGTATCATATCTAAAGTATTTTTGGGCAGAATTTTATTGTATTTATTTAAAATATATCTCTATTGATTTCAGAGAGAGGAAAAGAGAGGGAGAGAGATAGAAACATCAATGATGAGAGTCATTGATTGGCTGCCTCCTGCATGCCCTCGACTGGGGATCGAGCCTGCAACCCGGGCATGTGCCCTGACCAGGAATTGAACCCCGATTGACTGGATCCTAGGTCGATGCTCAACCGCTGAGCCACGCCTGGCTGGGGAAGGCAGAATTTTAAAATTATCATTATCTTTTTTGTTTTGTTTTTGCAAAATGTAAACACTATGATTCCAATTTTATAAAACAAAGATTTTTTTAAAAATCACATATGTACATATGCCCATTATACACATATTTGCAAAGTTACAGGGTCATGGAAAAAAAATACGAAGAAGTATATTTTGGGTTGTTTCCATTTGCACTGGAGGGAAAGAAAGGAAGGGAGGATATGGGGTAGCTATGTGGAAGAAGGGTGTCAGTGAGGAAAGGCAAAAAAGGACAATACTTAAAATACTCAACTGTGCAAGAATATCATTAAAAGACTAAGAATGTTGCCATAAAGACCACAGGAAAGGAAACTTTCAGAATAAAATGAGTGGAACAAGTCTAGTATAGATACACTGAAGAGGTTCTAAAACTCTTCTCTAAGGGTTAGTACACATATTATGGGTTCATAAACTAGAGCTGTATCAGAATCCACTGTGCAGCCCTTATATGTATTTAGCGGTCTATAAAAGTTTAGAAACTTATATACTTTTCATTAGAGGTAAAAAAATCAAAGAAAAATACAATTATGTTGTAGGTTAGGATATACACGAAAAAGAAAAAAGGAGGCTTGTTTTCTAGTCCTGATTCTACACCCAATTAGCAATGTGTCATTAGGTAAGTTATTTTCTCTCTCCAATCCTCATCTTACTAATATGTAAAACAAAGACCAGAATTCTGTTTCCAAGGCCTTCTAGTTCTGACATTCTACAATTCTACTCCATAAAATAGAATTATTTTTAAGAAACCACTTTAATACCAAGAATTTAACAGAACTAAGCAAGCTCCCAGCAAACCTGTGCCTGAAGCAGTCTCAGCTGTCTGTCCTGTTCTGTGAGGAACCTATATGCATCCGGAGACAGTCCCATCATTCCATCATCTGGCCCAGTCTTGGGTGTATGCACGCATGCTGCACAAGGCCATGGATTGCAGGAGTCCACATGTGAAGGTAGTCTTGCCACAGGCGACGGCTCTACACCGCTGTGGGGAGGACCACCCCCCATGCTTCCCTGAGGTCTCATGGCTATAGGACTGCTGCACGAACAGAATGCATTATGGTACAGAGCTGGACATCCGCTTGGGTGAAATAATGAATGTTTCTGAAGGGCTTCAGACTGGAGGTCTTGAACGGATCCTACTGTATTCATTCCTTGCCAAGAATTTATTGGACTATACTGAATATGGCCATGATGCTGACAACAACTGCAAACATTTGTGGAATAGTAAGATGGTGATGGGGGAGTAGCTACCTGAAATTCCATTGGTTTTCCTAGATTATGAGGTGAAAAAATAAAATTGTGTGAGTGGGACCGCGGGGCAAGAGAAGAATGCCTGGAATGAAATGTGGAAGATCTTATAGGATACTCCTCTTTGTGTACATTTCCAGAAGACATTGTTTGAAGCTTTTCAGATGCGTCAGGAGATGGCCCATTAAGAGAAGATGGTTTAACACTGTTTCTTATATGGGGGTTCTCATTCTTACGGGTAGATGGCTGTCTTACTCTGCAGTGTCTCAAAGGAGTAGTGTCCTGGTTTAGCTGATTTGGAAGCCCTTTCAAGGAGGGCTCTCCAGCTTCAGTGTCTGGGCTGTGTCTCTCATTGTAAAGCTGGGGCTGCAGTGGCTCCAAGTGTTCAGAGTGGTTAATCAACAGAGAAGGATTCTCATTATTCACCATTTCCAAAGGGTTAGGCAGAGGGTTTGAGTCTATGCAATTGCTATCCAACACAAGTGAAAGTTCTGGAACTGATGGTTGGATCTTAGAAACCTATAAATGGGAAAGAAATGAAAGAGAAGTATGTTTTAGAAAAATACACCAGTATTTCCCAAATTATACCCAGTTACTTATTAAAAAGGGTTTATTCTTTATCTAGACAGTTGATGAATATTTTCTGGGCATCTTCTATGTGCTAGGCATAGGCACAGGAATATAATTGTGAGTAAAATANTATATGCTTCACTTTTGTTACACCAGTATTTCCCAAATTATACCCAGTTACTTATTAAAAAGGGTTTATTCTTTATCTAGACAGTTGATGAATATTTTCTGGGCATCTTCTATGTGCTAGGCATAGGCACAGGAATATAATTGTGAGTAAAATAAACAAGGTCCTCACCTGCAAAGCATCTCACAAACTTATATAATGATGGAACTCCTTTTATCAGAACACTGATTAACACTGTGATCACACTATGAGAAACTGTTTTACAATACACTTTTTTTTTTTTACCCTTTCTGCAAAAAAAATTATCACAGGCAAAATGCTTCAACAGATACAGTAGCAAAAAATGTTTCTGAATCTTAAATAACAAGGAATCTTCTAATAAATATTTCAGAATATTTTTCCACTATGTGAAATTATTCAGTTATTTTTTGTACTGATATCAACTAAAAGAGTTAGAAGAGAGCAGAAAAGAGTAAACAAAATACTCGCTGTGGTGAATTTGGTTATAATTTGATAACTGATTTTTAAAAACCTTTCCTATTCCTTTTTCTTCTAGTAAGCCATTAGTCCAATTAAGGTACAATTCTAAAATAACCCACTGGTTGACTGCAATCAAAAAATTATGGCAGGGGTTATTAGCAATCAATATCCAAAAGCAAGTAGAATGTTTTCTCAGAATATGGTAATAAGACCCACTGTCAAACTTTGGTGACAGAGTATAGAATGTTGAGTCTATATGGGTTAAAAGCACCAGATTCTGAAACCAAACTCCCTGAATCAGAATTCCAGTTTTACTACTTACTAGCTGTGTAATCCTGGGCAAGTAACTTAACCAATCTGTGTCTCAATTTTCTTTGGGACTAATAATTATATGTACTTATGATACATGTATGTGTGTGTGTATGTGTATATATATGCATATATATAACTACATAAAATAATTATATATGCCTGTGAGGAATAATATATGTAGATATAGCCATGTACATATAGCTAGATATATTTTAGAATAAAACTTCAGTAAGTTTTAGGTTGCATTATGGAGTGCTTTAACATCAAGAGACTTCTAGGTTTCTAACCACCAAGGCGAGTACATTTTAAGATCAGTGATACCTTCTGACTCACTGGATGCGGACTGGGAATTGGTCTTGGAGAAAAATCTTCATCTTCAACACCAGAGTCATGATCATTTACTGGCATTTTCCCTGGAGATAACTTTTGGGAAGACCTAAAGAGTAGAGGGGAAATGAGAAAGTCTTCAGTAATCTAGTGTTTGTTATTTCTTTTTGAAGTTGAAGAAAGTCCTTTAGTAAGTCACAGTCGTATCTGAATCATTTAACTTAGTATCTGACAACCACAAATTATTTTATTTTTCAATGTTACTTGCCAAAGACAGCTGGCCCAATCAGACTCATGCTTAATAAAATACCCCTTTGCCTGATCATGGCACACTTAACCTAGTTATTCTTAATGTCACAAGAAATCAACAGTTACTGAGCATCTTTTGTCTAACCACTTTGAGGAATGTAGAAATAAATAAGACAAAGCACCTGCCATCAAAAACTTTATAATCTGCCCTGGCCTGTTTGGCTCAGTGGTTAGTGTTGGTCCGAGCACCAAGGTCTCCGGTTTGATTCTTGGTCAAGGGAATGTCCCTGGGCTGCATGTTCAATCCCAGCTATAGTCGGAACATGTGCAGGAGGCAACCAAGCGATGTGTCTCCCTTACATCAATGTTTCAGTTTCTCTCCCCAACCCCCTTTTCCACTCTCCCTAAAAATCAATGAAAAAAATATCCTTGGGTAAGGATTAACCAAAAAGAAAATAAAAAACTTTATAATCTGGTGATAAATATGTATTCACTGTATTAAACACTGTTAAAAAAGAAAATAAAGTAAGGAATTATTTTTCCTATGTACTTATATCTGTGATGGGAAAATACTTTGAGACATTAATTGAGGTACCTCCTCCCATTTAGTCATGTGTACTCATTGTATCACAGGTGGCATGCCCCAGCAGAGAACATAGAGTTGGTACTGAGTTTCAAAAGCTGAAATTAGGGTTTAGGACCAAAATTTGGAAGACTATATGCATCAGGTTTTTTTGCACCCTAGACTAGATAAAGTCTCAATAGGATGGGTTAGGGAAGAGGAAAGAAAAGGCAGAGAAAGCCATGACATTAATGGATTCCCTAAGAAAGGGTCCTGCATCCTACCTCCCCAGCAGGAAAAACAACAGAAACCCCAGGTAGATCTGGAAGATCTGACAGCAAGAGACCTTTGCCCCAAGCCCTGGTAGTCTAGAGAGGCAAACATGAAGTTCTTTCTGTGCTAAGGTGCCACAATGAAACAATGAGAACATCTGCATGGTGCGTTTAAACAGAAGGGTCTGTACCAGCCCCACAAAGTTCTCCTCCAACACCCAAGAATGACATGGAGGACACAGAATGATATCCCATGCACCTCAGTGAAGCATGAGCATGACACAGAGAGCCAGTGACCTGAACAGGGGAAAGAGATCGCAGCAGGAACCTGCACAAACCTACAGCCAAAGACCAGATGCAAATGAAAACACCTCAGCATATGGCAGCACGGGAGATGGTAATCATGTTTGCCGACGGGCATGTTGGTCCTCTCTAAGTGACACATAACCCCAGAGGAAAGAGGAAAAGTATACCATGAATTGACTGAAACTGGGTTTCTATATCTTAGCACAATGAGTAGGGACTCAAAATAGATATTAAGTTCGATTACTTTTAAAAAGAAAAAACTCTCATTTTTTTTGTACACCTGAGTTTTTGGCAAGGATTTAGTATCTGCTACATACTTATGATAAACACATACAAAATTTCTGACACTGAACAATAAATTCCATTTCTGAGCTTTTTTAGCACCCAAGGCAAAAAAGGAAAAACTTTAGGTTGTATAGTTATAACATCAGTATTTTAGGCAAGACAAACATTTTACTAAAACCTAAAAATAACTGATCCTTATTAAAGCCTTGGTCAGAGTTGAAAATAGACAAGGTTTTTCAACAATGTTAAAGAAATGGCAAGTGTCTACTTAATTTGGCTTTTTCTTCCATAAATAGTCAATAAAATTTTGAAGAAAGCCTTAAAATAGTAAAGGTGGTTTTGCAAAGCTGTAAGAATATAGTTTTCTAGTGACTGAACATGTTTCGAGGATAACTTAAAATGCCCAAAGATGGAAAGAGTATACCTCAGGCATCTTTCTAATCCCTATAACCTGTGACTGTGTTATAGTTTATGGTAAAAGGAAGTTTGCAGATGTGATTAAGTTAAGGATCTTGAGATGTAATTATCCTGCATTATCCAGGTAAGCCCAACGTAATCACAAGAGTCCTAATAAGATGGAAGCAGAGGGTCAGAGTCAGAGAAGAAAATGTGAAGACAGAAGAAGATGTCAGAGAGAGAGAGAGGGAGAGACAGAAGGAGACAGAGACAGAGATAGGGACGGAGACAGGGAGGGAGGGAGGGAGGGAGGGATTTGAAGATACCATGCTGCTAGCTTTGAAGATGGAGTAAGGGTTCCAGCCAAGAAATGCAGGTGGCTTCCAGAAGCTGGAAAAGGGATTAAAAAGATTCTCCACTAAAGCTTCCAAAAGGAATGCATCACTGTCTTTTTTTTGCCATCACTTTGATTTTAGGCTTAAAGATCCACTTTAGACTTCTGACCTCCAGAACTCTAAGATAATAAATTCGTATTGTTTTAAGTCAGGAAGTTTGTGGTAATTTGTTACAGCAGCAAGTGGAAACTAATAAATTCCCATTTTACAGATGGGATACTGATGTTTAGAACCAGGATTTAAAAACAGATATGACTGATATCATAACTGGAGTTCAAATTATGTTATGCTGCCTCTATAAATAGTTGGCATAGTAGCATCCACTTTAAATTTGTATCATAGTTAGTTCCCACTTATAGAATCAAGTGTTAAGGACAGATGAATGAATGCTATAAAAAAGGGTCAAGCCATTTTCTCAATAACTGCAACCATCTATAATGAACCATATACCTGCTTGTTTCTCACATAAGGTACTAAACAGATAGTACTGAAGGAGCCAAAGACAGGCCGAAGTTAGAGTAAAAAAGTTGAGAGCAGAAAAAATCAAGTGTTAGGGAAAGTTAAAAATACAACTGTTTCTAAACTACAGAGTCAAATAATAAATCAGCATTCTAAGGCAACCTTTAAATGAGGTTATTAAATATTCGGCAATTATTAAATTAATGGGCCTCTCAAATAATACGGAGATATCCACCAGGGCTTTAAGGAATTGGTCCTGGACTATATTCCAATGCTCCATCACTGGACTATAAGTTCCATGAGGGAAGGGACCATGTCTGTATCTGTTTTTGATATCACCATATCCCCAGCCCGTAGCATATTATCTGGCACACAGTAGAATAAATGACAAAGCTAGAATAGGTATATGAAGGGGTAATTTTATGTGTCAACTTGATGAGGCCACAGAACCCAGATATTTGGTCAAAATTATTCTAGATATTTCTGTGAAGGTATTGTTTAGATGGAAATAACATTTAAATCAATAGATTCTGCCTGGCCGGGCATGGCTCAGCGGTTGAGCGTCAACCTGGGATCCAGGCGATCAGGGTTCGATTCCCCGTCAGGGCACATGCCCAGGTTGCAGGCTCGATCAATGACTCTCTCATCATTGATGTTTCTATCTCTCCTCCCTCCTCTTTCGTCTCTCTGAAATCAATAAAAATATGTTTAAAAAATAATAATAATAAAATTTTAAAAAATCAATCAATCAATAGACTCTGAATGTGGGTGGGCCTCATCTAGTTAAAAGCATTAACAGAACAAAGACTGACCTCCCCCAAGAAGATGGCATTCTGCTAGCAGACCACCTTTAGGCTCCAACTACAATTCTTCTCAACCTGAAACCTACCCTGCAGACTTTGGACTTATCAAGCCTCCACAATTGTGTGAGCCAATTCCTTTAAGCCCTGGCTGGGTATCTCAGTTGGTTAGAGCATTGTCCTGAAATGCCAAGGTTGCAGGTTCAATGTCCCATCAGGGGACATACAAGCAACCAATGAATGCATGAATAAGTGGAACAACAAATCCGTGTTTCTCTCTCTCAAATAAAATAAAAACAAAACAAAAACAGAAAAACCTCTACACACACACACACACACACACACACACACACACACACACACACACACACATTCTCTTTCTGTCAGTTGTTTCTCTGGACAACACTGACTAGTACAAGGGAATATCTTCTTATCCACAAAAGGTATATACTGACCCCAAAAGCCATTGTTTAATTAATATTTCCCAAGTGTATCTCCTTTAAAAGTTTTAAAACAAACTCTTTTTTTAGGTAGATGAATTATTTTTGTATAGCAGTTTATCTGATAGGCCCAGGTTTAAAACTACAAGGAAGGAAAGAAACAAGCAAAAGGCAAACTAACCAAAAACAGGATGCTTCTTCCTAAGCAAGATAGCTGCTTGACAAATACTTTTTTCCCCCTATGTAAAAAATCAACTCAAATAAGAACCGTATTAGAGCTGTCACTTTATTAAAATTATCATCCAACTTCTGAGTAAGAAGGAATGAATTTAAAGCAAAGACATCTATGGCACATAAGATATCCAAACAGTTTCATCAGAAATAATTGGGGAGCCTGGCCAGCGTGGCTCAGTGGTTGAGCATTGACCTATGTGATCCAGTAAATCAAAGTTTGATTCCTGGTCAAGGCACATGCCCAGGTTTCAGGCTCGATCCCCAATAAGGGGCATGCAAGAGGCAGCCAATTAATGACTCTCATCATTGATGTTTGTCTCTCTCTCCCTCTCCCTTCCTCTCTCTGAAATCAATAGACATATTTAAAATAAAATAAAGTGGGGAGTTAATTTCTCATCAAAAACTAATGAAAATAACAAAGATAATAAAAATGTATCTTTTACCTCTTAATTGAAAGATTCTTAGAAATTTTGTTGAAAAACTCTGTTTCTGCATTTTGGCTTTCAGCACTCAGTTCAAAATGTATTGGATTCTTGTCAGAAGGTTCAACATTCTGAAATGAAGTAGGTCATATGTTGAGATGTGACTTAAAACACCAGAGAATTCTATTTAGATGAAAAGTAGCTCTGAAACACTGGGGGGAGGGAGACTTCTGATTCTATAACTGTAAACTTTTTTTAAAACATTTTTTATTGAGACATAATTGACACACAACATTTGTTTCAGGTGTACAACATACTGATTTGATATTTGTATATATTGTGAAATACTGTAAGTGTAGTTAACATCTATTATACACAGTAATTTTTTTTTTCTTATGATGAGAACTTTTAAGATCCTCTCTCTTAGCAACTTTCGAATACAACTGACTCTTAAACAACATGGGGGTTAGGGGCACCAACCTCCTGAGCAGTTGAAAATACACATGTAACAATAGTTGCCCTCTAGCACACACAGAGTCCCAGCCTCACAGTTGACCCTTGAACAGCGTGGGTGTGAACTGCATTGGTCAACTGAAAAAAAATTTGCACATAAGTGGACCCACGCATGTTCAAACCCACGTTGTTCCAGGGTCAGTTGTATATAATACAGTAACTATAGGCACCGTACTATACATCACATCTCCAGAACCTATTCACTTTATAGCTGGAGTTTGCACCTTTATAGGACTTTCATCCTTTCCTCTCACCTCGCAAACTCCACCCCTGGCAACCACCAATCTGTTCTCTGTATTTATGTTTTGTTTTTTAGATCCCACACACAAATAAGATCATATGCTATTTGTCTTTCTCTGTCTATTTCACTGAGCATATGCCTTCAAGGTCCATCCATGTTGTAAATGGCAAGATTTCTTTATTTTTTATGGCTGAATAATATTCCAGTGTATATATGTACCACATTTTCTTTATTCATTCATCCACTGACGGACACTTAGGGTTGCTTCTGTGTCTGGGTTATTATAAATAATGCTGCAATGAACATAGGGGCACACGTATCCTTTTGAATTAGTATTTTCATTTCCTTTAGATAAATACCCAGCAGTAAAACTGCTGGATCACATGGTAGTTCTATTTTTATGTAGCCATCTCTTTTCTACTGTCCATGTCCCTGCTACAAAAGAAAAGTATTAACCACCTATATTATGTAACTCACTCAATTACCAGGGATTCAGTTAAAATGGTAACTTTGAAGATACTATCTAAAGAATAAAATGAGCAAATGATGCCTCTAAAAGAGAAATAAATTAGATTTCATTTAAGATAATTATATTTATAATTAAAATGTAAAACCTTGAGTCATGAACTGATATAGCCTATAAATAATATGAAATCAGGCACAAAAGAAGATCTGAGTGAAACACATGAGTCTCAGTTACTCAACATTTTTGTAATAAAATGCAGAATTTTTTTATTATTGGTCTGAGACATAGGACAACTAACCATCTTACTGAAAAGTGGTCTTTGAATGATTTTACACAGTGACACATGTATTTTTATGTATTTTATTAGATATAGCAACAATCTATTCTGATTCCTGGGATTAATATGATTAACACTGACTTTTAAGTGTGAGAAACCATTTGTTATACCCCTATATTTTAAAAATAATAATTAGGGCAAAGAAAACACTAGAATTACAAATTAACTCTAAATATCATAAAATGATACACCATATAAATTCTTGACATATTGTTCAAAGGTTTTAGAAAAACATTAGCAAGCTACTCTATGGATAACCTCTGACCTTGTATTATAATTTGGTTCTGGAGATATGACCTAAAGTTAACAAAACAAAATTAACCATAAATGAGTAAAGTAATATTCAGTAAGATGATTATAAATACATAAAGCCTAATAGTTACTGTTTTAAAGGGTAAAGGCCTTTGGGCTTAAACTGATAACATGCAACTCTAAACAGTCATTAATGAAATCAAATCACTTACTTTGAAAAAATGTAATGTTTCCCTGCTGGTTAATAGCTGGAACCGAAGGTCAGGTAACCTGCCATCGCAAGGTAGGCATTCATAAAACTCAGGATTCTTATGTGTCACAGAATATAGAACTATAATGAAATGTCCAGATTCTGAAAAAACCCTGGATAAAAAAATGCCACTTAATTAAAATTTACTAAGGATAACAAGAGTATACCCTACTTGAAGAACTCTATGTCAGTCTCCCAATCTAGTTAACAGACTGACTAAACAGTCCAATGTTTGGAAGAAAACTGGGGAGCAAATTCATGCTTACTTTTTAATGTTACTAATTTTTTTTTTTTAATTGATTTTTTTTTTTTTTTTTTAGAGAGGAAGGGGTCGGGGAGAGGGAGGGAAGGAGGGAAGGAGAAGGAAAGAGAGAGAGAGAGAAACATTGATTTGTTGTTGCTCCACTTATTTATGCATTCATTGGTTGCTTCTTGTATGTGCCCTGACTGGGGATCAAACCTGAAACCTTGGCATAGTGGGGTGATGCTCTAATCAACTGAGATACCCGGCCAGGGCAATTTTTAATTTTTAAATACATTTTATTATGAAAAAAAAAATTCCTTGTAAAAATTTCAAACAAGACAAGAATATAAAATAGAAAATGAAAACCACCCCACTCCACTCTCCAGTTTAGTATATATACTTCCAGGTTTTCTCCTAGGCATACAAAAAAATTTTATACAATTTAACGAAAATGAGGCCATACTATACACATGACTTGCAATTGCTATTTCTTACTTAACTGTCCTGGGTTTCTTTTCACGTCACTACTCTATATTATACCTCAGATACCCTTATTCTTTTTTAGCAACTAACAGTATTATGATTTATAGATATGCCATTATTGATTCTCCAGACTTCTAAAAATGTATAATAAAATTATGGTATTTATAATATTTCGCTATTATAAACACTGATAAAGTAAACATTTATTTTATTATCCACTATATAACAAAAAGTCATCAAGAGACTTTAAAATATACACTAAAACCAACTATTTAAAAATACTTTCAGTAGTTGTCCCTACTTGGTAAAATACTGAATAAAAATATAATTTGGGGGTACAGTACACTACTAACAAAACAAAGCAGTGAAGGCCGGAGAGGCAGGATGCTTATTCTGCACAACTCCTCTCTCTGGGGTTAGACAAGGCTACTGCTCGGAATGCTGTCAAGTACCAACCTAAGCTACGCTAAGTAGTGCTGACTCCTCTCTGGTTCAAACCTCCCTTGAAAGGGTTGGCAGTAATTAAAGAGTTTAGGTATCAAAGAAATTCCCTAATGCTTCAGACTGAACACACACTGAAAGAGCTTCAAAATTAATTTTCCTGAGCATTTACTCTCAATAAGAACTTAAAGCAAGACCAATCATTGATAATTAAACAACTGTACAAATACACTAAAAGGAACATTTTTTTTATTGCAAATAAAACTAATTGTCATGTAAAACTGAAATAAAAGGTAAAAAGTAGAACTTTAAAAGCATCTGAAGAAAGCACAAGAGATTTTTTTATTTTCATAAATACTCCTGGAGTGGGCAAATCCTTTCTAAGCAAGAAAGGAAAAAGACTTATACATATGACTTAAAAAAAAAAGTCATTTGGGAAAAATATCATTAACCAAAGTTGTCAAATGACAAGCCGGGGGAGGGGGTGCTTTCGCCATGTATTTTTATAAATATTGTTTCTCTATATATTTTACATATTATGTGTGTATATATACACACACACACACACATGTACACACACACAGTCATGCACCACTTAATGATAAGGATATGTTATGAGAAATGCATTATTAGATGGTTTCACTGTTGTGTGAACATCACTGAGTGTACTTAAATAAACCTAGATGGTATAACCTACTACACACCTAGGCTATATAACACACCTAGGCTATATGATATATCTTAGTCTATATGTGGTCCATTGTTGACCAAAATGTTGTTATGCGGAACATGACTATACAGAGGGTGAGAAAGAGATAGTGAGCTCTTTCAAAGCAATGTGAAAGATGCACAATCCAAGAGAGTAATGGCAAGAGTCATGAACAGGAAGTTCCCAGAAGATGGTTACAAAACATCTGAAAAGACCATTACCATTACCTCGCTGAGGTCTTGCTACCCCACCCTCCCCTCACTCCTGTCCAGGCGCACTGGCTTCCTTGCTATTCGTTAAAGATGCAAGGTGAGCCCTGGCCGGCTGGCTTAATTGGTTGGAATGTAGCCCTGTACACCAAAAGGTTGAGGGCTCAATTTCTAGTCAGGACACATGCCTAAGTTGCAGGTTTGAAACCCAGTTGGGGAAGCAACCAATCGATGTTTCTCTCTCAGTCAAACCAATAAAAACATATCCTCGGTTGAGGATTTAAAAAAAAAAGATGCAAGGTGATGTTTCACACATGGCCATTGGACTTAATGTATCCTCTGCCTGAAACTGCCCCAGACAGCCACATGGCTTACTCCCTTACCTCAAGTCTTGGTCTGCCTGATTACACTACTTAAAATTGTTACACTTTACCTACCACTACCATCCAGACACACATCCTCTTCCCTAGCTTGTTTTTCTCCACAACACTCATCACCTTATACAATATTATTTTACTTATTTGTTCTATTTCCTGCTTGCCTATACCTGCAGGGTCTTCATTTTGCTTCCTGTTTATCCCCAATATCATGAACAGTACTTGGTACATAGTAGATGCTCAATAAATATTTGTTCCACAGTGTTAGTGAGGAGATGGAGAAAACATGCACTCTCAAACACTGTTGGAAGGACTATAAATTGACAGTGTTTTGGAAGGGCAATTTAAAATTATCTATCAAAATTTAAAATTACACTTTGACCAGAAAGACCACTTTTAGGAATTTATTCTACAAATATACTAGAATATGCACACAAAGACATATACAAAAAAGGACTAGTTTTTAAAATACAAATTATTTACTATTCAGTTGTAAAATATGTGTTGAATCTGTACATGCCAAAATGTAATGATCTACAAGGAATAATGACAGAGAGAAAAAAGCAATATACAGAAAAGGAAGAATGGCATGCTCCCATTTGTGACTTAATTTTTACAGGCTAGGGGAGGGTGATATTTGTCTATGCATTGCATGTTGCAGGAAGGAAGCACAAGATACTGTTTAACACTGACTCTCTGTGGATAGGGTCTGGGGAAATGGGGTAGAAGAGAGAATTATTTTTATTGTGTACCTTTATTTATGTCTGATTTATTACAATGTATTTGCACTGTCTTTTCAATCAAGTTTTTTTTCTAAAGTGTATTATAGCCACCTGAGGTAGATAGAAACAGACCTTGGAATTTTCATTTAACAGATGAAGAAGGTGAGAGGCAAATAGTGGTATCACATACAAAGTAGCAAAATTAAATGAGGAGTTGAGGTTAGAAATAAAGTTCTCTATTAGTTCCAATACTTGTGCTTTAGTTCCAGGAAGAAAATTAAACATCTCCTCTCAAATGTTCCTTAGAGTGCTAGTAGTATCATTGCGTAACTTAATAAAACACTTGTAACAAATTCAAACTCATTTCAGCCATTTCACTGAAAATTAATCTCTTTACTTATAAAATAGAATGCTAGAGTAAATGATCTCTAGGGTTTTCCCCTACTCCTAAAAAGTGTATCTTTTGTGTTACAGTTCTGTAGTTAGGCAAGTAAATGCCTTCTTTTTCCAAATATAGTGCACTCTCACCTTTGTCTGGTGTTATTCCCATTTAATGTAGAGTTTGTTTTTCTAATGTGCTTGTTCTTCTGGCTTTTAAGTATTATAAAAGGTTAAGGCTTCACATGAATTTTAAAGATCAATAAAATACAAATGGAGGAAAAGATCAAAATAAAATACTACATGAGAAAATACCACTTGCCTTTCTTGAATAGAAGAGCTGAACATGTATCGCAAACAGCAAGCCCATACCTGAGGACTATAGATGTGTATAATGCCTGAGAGCCATCTAAAAGAAAAAACAAAAATCAAAAACTATAGTCATTTACAAATTGATACTTAATATATTTTAGATTATGTACTTCTTAGAGTAATATGGCAAAGATTCTTGGCTTTCACCAGCAATACATTAAAGGCCTCATAAATAAAAAATCTATGAACACTAGGCCATGATAATAATTGAGGGAGAATAGATATAGATATACAGAGAGCTTCTTTCTGTCTTCTCCCACCTGAGATGAAAGCAAAATGGTGGGAGAGAAAATGGGTAACAACAGAGGTGAAAGCAAGAATCAATTAGAATCATTTAGCCTAGACTAGAAAAAATAGACTAAATTGGGGAAGAATGAAGTCAGCAGCCCAAAACTATAGTTACTGAGAGGATTAAAAACTGTAATATATATAGGTAGCATCAAACATAGAAGGCTAATAATAGATATTCACTTAGTGAGAAAGACAAGTACCATATGATTTCACTCATGTGGAAACTAATGAACAAAATAAACTAATAAACAAAATAGAAACAGACTCAAAGATAGAGAACAGACTGATAGCTGTTAGAGAGGAGGGGGTGTTGGCAGGCTGGGTGAAAAAGGTGAAGAGATTAAGCAAAAAAACCCAAATTCATAGATAACAGTATGGTGAGTACCAGAGGGAAAGGGGGGTGGGGGGAGTATAAGAGGATAAAAGGGGGCTAAATGGTGATAAAAGGAGACTTGACTTGGGATGGTGAACACACGATACAATATACAGATTTTAGAATTGTATACCTGCAACCCATATAATTTTATTAACTAATGTCACCCCAATAAATTCAATAAAAATTAAAAAAGATATTCACTTAGTATCAAAAGCCCATAGTCAACACCAGGAACATAGCAAACAGAATTAAGTAGATTTCATGACCCACAGAACATTTGTGTACTCTCATTTTTTAATTTTGCACATACTATTTCCTCACATGGGTTCTGTCCCCATCAGTCCTCCCTTTTATGATCCAAACACTTAAAGGTCCAGCTCAAGAGTGCTTTCTCTAAGAAAATGTCCAACATCATCTCTTGCACAAGTACTAATAGTGCTCACTATCAATATTGCTCATTTCATAGCAAATCATATACTTCCTTATTATTTATCTTTCTACGTGTGGATATTTAAATATTTTATCGCCTTGATTATAAATTTCTTCAGGAACTTTAAATCCCAACACAGAACCAAACATAATACTATGCATATGGTAAGCACTCGATAAATATGGAATGAACATAAATTTCTTGTGGAATAATCTGTCTAAACGTCATTAACCACTAACTCAAAACAGAAAGCCATTAACATTTAGGGGAATTTCTGCAAAATTGCCTGATAGTAAATTTTAAAGTATTAGTCTAGCCTTGTGTTCTTTAAGGTGCCTTAAGGACAACAGGTAGTGAAGAAAGTTTAAGAAACAGGGATTTAATGCTTCAACTTCAACCAGGAGAGCTAACTTTCTCTGTTTTATACATTGAAGTTCTAAGATTGGGCAAAATCTTATTTTAACTGGTTCTGCTATTAAAATAAGTAAGCTTAAGAATCATTGGCCCTTGTGGCTTTATAAGGTGATTTAAGTTTTAATTACATAGTCATAGTATGGTTACAATATACATTTGAATACATACGTGGCTGAAAAGGTTTTCATAAATAATGCAACACTTACATTCCCACTAATGGTAGAGAATAAATCTTGGGATCAGATTCCAGCAAAAGTAACAATTTGCGTGTTTCATCCATGGTAAGATATCTAAACAGAAAACATTCATGTAAAAAACAATTTGAAATATATACTTTTTATTAACCTTTAAAAGAGATCATCTGAGTGCTGAAGCACATTTTAGGCAGGGGAGATAATTCAAAAGGATATTTTCTCCCTCACACATGTACACAAAGAAAACAGTTCAAAGTGTAAAAAAGGAGTCCAGTAAGAGGAGGAGATTAAAGAGATTCAGTATCTATTAAATTCAATGTATTAAAATGGTCATTGAAAATTACACACCCTTTAAAAAAGTTTTGCTCTAAAAATGTCAACTTATTTTAAACAAAAGTATTAAAAATGGTTGGTTGGCATGGCTCAGCGGTTGAGCATTGATCAGGAGATCACGGTTCGATTCCCAGTCAGGGCACATTCCCGGGTTGCGGGCTAGATCCCCAGTAGCGGGCGTGAAGGAGGCAGCCGATCAATGACTTCCATCATTGATGTTTCTCTCTCTCTCCCTTCCTCTCTCTGAAATCAATAAAGACATATTTAAAAAAAAAGTATTAAAATCAAAGCTAACAATTTCAAAACCATACAGGCTTCCCTGGGAGAAGTGAATATCCTTTTACATAAGTGTTCAAGCATGCAGGTGACTTGACAAGACTGCTACAGATGTTACTTCTCACAGGAGGCTGAATTAGGTGAGGTATATTCAGCCTTCATGTACTATAATCCTCCAACCACTACCACAGAACTTTGGAACCATCATGATAGAACTCACTCACTCACTAGTCCTTAAAAGGATATTATATTATATTTATACTTTGTTATTATGTTTATTACTAACAGTAAGTTTTAAGAATATAAATAACTACAGAATTATGGACAGCTAATTTTATTGTTATGGTGTTAAAATACAAAAATTAAAACAATGCCATTTGTGATATAAAGTCTTAATAGTCCCACTGAGGATTATTTCATTGCTATAATAACCCTAAAACACAAAGATAATGAATTTATCAGGCCAGCTGACAAGATGATTAAGTCTGAGTTGGCAGGAGATTCATCAATGACACCTACACCTGTTTTGAAAGCTCTTTTACTTTGCCTACCTGAAAAATTCCTGTTCTCTTAAAGAACCAGCTCAGGTTTTCCACAATTTTCCCAGGCAATTTGGACACACCTTCCTGCTTTCCCGTGCACTGTATATAAACCCTTATTACCTTTATCCACATCATGTTTACACATTAATATATTTAACAGACAGTAAGTATGCCTTTTGAAAATCCATTTAATTCCAGTGTCTAACATAACACCTATTCCATAATGGATCCTAACAAATATTAGGGTAAACAAATGAATGTGGTCAAGGAAAAAGGCAAATGTCATAAATTCAATACATAATTATAGATAATAATGGGCAAGGGGAACAGATAATTAGAACATTGAACATCCTGGGTTACTGGTAGCATGCCAAGGGATCACAGAAGGATAATTTAGAGCAAGGTAAATTCATATTTCACTAGTAGATGGACATGGGTACTAAGGATAACAAATTAATCTTTTGGTTAATTTTAACACAAATTCCCATGTCCCAGTTGACAATCACTTTACTACTCCAAGGGAATTAAATGTTACACTAATTCAAACATTTTTATTACCATCACATTTAACCATTCCATGATTCTGGAATATACTAACACTTTTTTTAATGCCAGTCCAACCAGAAAGGTCAGCATGTGGGACTCAAAATGGGTTCTTGCTGTTCCAGGGACCCTCTGAAAAGAAAAGCCTTCTTTCTCCTTATACTCTTTTGAAGGGGCACTTTTTTTAGAGACTAAGACTTGGGAGTTGAGTGTACCTTGGCAAAACATTTCTGGCCCTAGAGACTTAACAGGAACTAGGGTGGAGTCTAGTGGGAAAGGAAGCCAGAAGTGAACTGCTTAGACTTTAAAGCAGAGGGTGCTCACATTGTCTAACGTAGCTCAGCAGACAATGGCTAAAGAAAGTAGACGAGGGTTCAGGGGAAGCAGCCCTGCTGAGGAGAAAGCCTGCGATTTGGCTTACATTGCCTAAGAAACTAAGCGTGGCAATAGGAAGCTGGAGAGGACACTGCTCCAGCTATGTAAGGAAACTCCACCCTCAAGTGGCCGACAATTTGGTAAGCAAGAGGAGTATAAATTATTATTATTTATATCCTTTCTCTATCTGCAATGTCCATTATTCATAATTAAATAATAAAGAAATTCTAAAGCGTCTTTTAGACTCATTGTCAGTTATAGTGGGGAAAAAAAAGACAAAGAAAATGATGACCTAAAACCGAGGCAAAATACAAGAGACAAAATGATATTATAGAAAATCATTTCTCCTTGTATTTTCAAATCACAAAATACAACCAATTTTAATATAATTTTTACCGCTAATTTTTCTTGGGATGGTAGACGCAACTCTTTAAAAGAAAACTATATTCAGCAAAAAATTAACAACTTCATTTTTCATCTTCCTTGGTTACTTATCTAGCATTGCAGATCTCTGGCATGTAAACTGACTACATAATTATTTCATATTATATGGATATCATGAAAATATACTGTGATCAGTATTTAAAACTTTGGATTAAAAAACCTTTTACTTACCCATATTTATAGGTACCTTGAACTTGAGAAATGTTCAGATTACTGCTCAAGTTTCTTGCCAGAGCTGTTGGAATAATGGGGATGGGCTTCACCGGTGCACATTGAAAGGTATTTGCTATAGTGACTGCTGCCCAATGTAAGTCAAAATCCACAATGTCCAAATTCTCCCTGGAAGTGATATGAGCTCGTAGGAAAAGCAGTTTACCGCAATCCAAGGAATCTTTGCTACATACATGGTGCTGCAGAGCCTGAAGAATCAACATTATACAATTATTTAAAAAATTTGTAATTTGTCCACATCTCCAAAGGTTTTATTTGACACTGGTGCATATACACAAATATATCTTGCACTAACAAAATTAAACAATTTCTGAATTGCAACATTTCAATGATCTCATTTCCTTCTTGTGACCAGAAAGTTACAGGAATAATTTTGTCAAAGCAAATAAGATTGACTGTATTAAGGTCCATCACTTATTTCCAACTTAGATGTTTCAGCAGTATTTCAAATTCCTATTGGAGAATGTCAGTTCTAATAAATAATACATGGGGAAAAATAGATGTAAATTAACTCTGATTCAGTCCCAAAGAATCTGAAGTACATTTCTCTTTGATTCTTTTCTTATTACCCCAAATTGTCAAGTAGGTTCTTCCTCTAGTTGCTTTTGCTCACTGCGTCGTTTCTAATCTGCCACCACTCTACAGGCTAATGCAGCCCTCTTTAACACACACCTGACTACTGCAATGGCCTAACTACTTTGACTTCATAGGTCAGCCTGCTGTTTCAAATTAACTATCCCCAATTTAACAATATTTCCTCTTTTCAGAAACTTTCAGTGACTCTACATGACCCATATGACAAAGTTCAAACTCAAAGTTCAAATACAGAGAACCTGGTAGACAAGGTTCTCTATAATCTGGCCAAACTAATATTCCAGTCTGACTGCACACAAACCTAGCAAAAATCTAAACCATTAATCATCCTGAGCACATACTGCACTTTGCTATCCTGGTCACACTGCTGCTTCTTCTGGAATGCTACCCATATTACCTATCCAGGATTTTTGCCCTCAGAAACCACATTTAATTGCATCTTAGGTCAACATATTATTATGAATACTTAGTAAATATGGATTTATTAAAATACAACATAGTACACAGTTTGATTCTTGTGTTAAGAATAATCAAGTTATCAACAAATCTCACCTTAAAAGCTGAACCAAAGTCATCTGCATTGTGAACTATTATTTCTCTTGAACAAAGTCCATTAGTATGAACTTTGCATGGAATCACAAAGTCCCCAGGAAGGGAAGCAGTAGGGGTTCTTTCAGAGCATCCAGGTACTTCTCGACCAGGATCAAAGCGATCTACTGTTAATATCACACCTTCTTCATCTAATAAGAACAAAAATAGCAATTATTATATAGCATGTCAACTAAAAATGTGAAACCAATGAAGAAAGCATACATTATAGCAAAACACTGTATTCATACTAATAGTCACACTAAACTCTTATATTTAATAATGACTTGCATATACATATATTCTTCCACCTGACCAGATTGTGAAGTCTGTGATGAGTAATGTCAAATTTCACTCTTTTTTGTAACTGGTATACAGCAAAGAACATTAGCACAAAGTACATTAGAATAGTTGGCTGAATCAGTAAACATAAACTCTATTATAGTAAAACAATAATTTTTTAAAAGTATATTACCTTCATTTACTGTGAGAGAACCAAGTAAAAAACATGGCAAGTTCTTTTTATTCTGCTTAGCATGTCGACAAGCAAGTTGGATGGTCTTTTCAGTTACCACAAGCTTTGGATTTCTGAAAAATAACAAGTCTTTTATAAAGGTACTAGATCTGATATCCTAAAACACCCTACTACCATGAAATGCTGCCTAAAATATAACTCACATCTTTAAAAATTCACAGAAAGATCACTGTTGGGAAAACCTAGGGTCAAAGGCAGGGCAAATCGAGGGGTGCCTGGAAATCAGAACTACAATAAGCAGACACTGAGGTTACAGTTGTTGTCCAGGCATTTGCTTACTTTTATGAACCAGAACAGGGACTGAGAAACTATAAGGCCAGTCTCCTGCTTTTGTAAAGTTTGACTGAAACAGTCATTACTTAATGTCTAGCATTAATGAATATAGAATATAAATAAATATTACCTGAATGTTTAAAGAAATATAAAAGGGACTCTAAAATATGAGCCAGGAACAACACACTATTAAAAATACTAGCCAACTTGAAAAACAAACAAACACAGAGAACTTGTAGAGTTAAAAATATAATCAATTAAAAACTCAGTGGATTACATAATTAACTGGACACACAAATGTTTATTATTCTATAAACTGTGCATATATATTATAAACAGTCTTTCATATATACAGTATACTTCCACGTTTAAAAAACCTAAATGAACAGGTTAGATGGCAACTAAAGCACAGCTAAAAAGAAAATTAGTAGAGTTGAAGAACAAAAGAAATTACTCAAAATGTAGCACAGAAAGATAAAATATAAAAGATAGGTTGAGAGACATGGAGAAAAGAATGAACAGGTCTAACAAATATTTAATTGAACTTCTCCAGGACTATGTATCTGTCAATGATACCACCCTTCTCTTAAATATTCTTTGACTAGTATCTTCCCTTTAGTTCCTCTATTCAGTAGATCATCAAATGCTATAAACTGTTTCTTCAAAACCACCTGGTTTCATTCTTTCCTCTTGATCTCAATACCGCTCTAAACCATTATAATAGCTACTATTTATTGACTACTTCCTCTGTTCCAGTCACTATGCACACTGATCCTTTAAAGAGTGTCCCATTTAATCCTTACAAGAGTACTATGAAACAAGCATCATTATTCCCATTTTATAAATAAAGAAACTGATCCTTGGCTACTTTACTGAGGTCACATAAATAAGAAATGGTAGAATCAGAATTTGACCCTCTAAGCAGTCTGACTCGTTATAGCACCTTAAACCACTACGGCATAAATCTACTTTTCTTATATTACAGAAAACCATCTCGCACCTAGGCTGACTCTAAGCTTTCCCTACTATGATTCATCCTTAGAATTCTGCTTTTAACAAGTAATCCCCCCTTATATAAAAAAATCTTGATGGATCTCTATTTTCTTTTACTTTAAGCTTAAGTTTCTATGTCTTTCTTTCAAGACCCTAGCCATAATCATATTATATATTCCTTCTAATATGGTCTACTCACTCAAAATCAGCTCAATCTTTTTAATGCTCTATAAAGACATCATGCTGAATTGAAGCATTATGAAAAACCCTTTCAGTTTTTATTTAGTTTCTGTTGGAATTCTTATAACATTTAGAACCTTAGGTTTGCAGACTATTTTAAACATGAAACTATTTCTCAAAAGCATGAAGAACTATTTAAGAAACAGAAAGGAGGAAAGATTATGAGTAGAAAAGTAAAAAAAAAAAAAAAAAAGACATAATAATCTATTTTTCCTTATACATCCTTTTGACTCATTTTTACTGGTTTGATCTGAAAAGAGAAACATCTTATACCTGTAGTAATTAAGATGTAAATAGATGAAATCTCCAATTGGCGTTGGGTTCCAAAGCGCGCATTTTGATGGAGGGAAGTAAAAAGGTACCATCCTGCTTGAAGAAAACCTTAGAAGAAAATTTGCAAATCAAAGAACAATGAAAAGCAAACTTAAGAACAAACCACTTGTAACTCTACTATCAAGAGAATAAGCACTCAAGTCATAGGTGTCGTTTTTCTGTCCTTTTTTCCTATGCAAATGTAAATCTCTACGCAGGCAAGCTTTTAAAACAGAATCAGGAGTATTAATCCTATAAAGTCCTCTTTAAATAACAGAAAAACAGCATAAGCCATGAATTTACATTTAAATTTAAAATTAAAATCTGTCCTTCAGAACTAATTTCTAGAAAATTGCTAGATAATTACCTAATAAAATTATAAAAAACACAATAACTTAAGAGTCTTTATTTTTCATGTTTCCAAATTTGGTATTTTGGGCCCTATCACATGAGTTAATTACTGAAGCATCAAAAGGACATTATAAATAATTCCTCTAAACAAAGATCCTAGGGGTTGTATAAAGCAAAGTTTCAATATTAAATCATACAGAGTACCATCACAAAGTTTTTATTTGAGTGAGTAACATAAGAAAACCACAATCAGAAAAAGACAATGGAAAGAAAGGACTGGGGAGAAAATATTAGCCAGAGTCCCATGTAATTAAAGGCAGAAAGCTCTGCTAGTGAGCTACCTACAACAGTGCATTTACCCAGTAGCAGACTGTTAAGCGGTTGAACTAAAGAATATTCATCACATCATGCACTAAAAATACCTTCTTACTTTCATGTATCATCTGATGAGGCTTCTCAACTAAAATACTAGCCTCAGTTTACTGATCACCTACTTTGTACCAGGCATCCTACTGGACGCTTTACATACATACAATATTTCTCACTAAAATTGTTCCAGAAACATTTTATTGTCCACTTTATTGATAACAAAGTGTAACTTTCCTAGCTTCATATAGCAACTAAGTAGCACAGCTGGGATTTGAATGTAAGTGTAGCTGATTTCAAAGCTTATACTTCTAGAAGCTCAGTGATGTAATACTTTAGAGCCTAGGTTCAAGTTCTGGCTCCACCACATTCCTAGCTGTGTGCTTTCAAATCCTTGTCTAATTTTAGTTCATAATATCCATAGGAAGAATGTTTAATCTCCTTGTTTTGAAATGAGGACATAATCTGATTAAGAAATTTGTTCATGGTTACAAAGCTAGTAAATGACAAACTGTCATTTACTAGCTTTACAAATACTAATATATTTATTATTTACCTATTGATGAAAGGCAGTATGATGCAGGGGTTAAAAGGAAAAGTCTGGAAAGTGCCCTGGCTGGGTGGCTCAGCTGGTTGGAGCATTGTCCTGTACACCAAAAGGTTACAGGTTCAATCCCCAGTGGGGCGCATACAGGAGGCAATGCAACCGATAGATGTTTCTCTCTCTCTAAAATCAATAAACATATCCTCAGGTGAGGATTAAAAAAAAAAAGGTCTGGAGATCAACTGCTTAGGTCTCAAACCTGGCTTCAAAATTTCTAGCTGTGTGAATTTGATCCAGTTATTTAATGTCTTTGTGCCTCAGTTTCCTCACCTGTTAAACAGGATAATATCAGTATCTCCTGGCAGAGTTATAATGAATATTAAATGAGTCAATATAACCCAGCTGGAGTGGCTCAGTGGTTGAGTGCTGATCCATGAATCAGGATGATCACGGTTCTACTCCATCAGGGCACATGCCTGCGTTGCAGGCTGGATCCCCAGTAGGAGGAGTGCAGAAGGCAGCGGATCAATGACTTTCATCACTGATGTTTCTATCTTTCTCCCTCTCCCTTCCTCTCTCTGAAATCAATAAAAACATATTTAAAAAGAAGAATGCATGCAAAGCACCTGGCACAGCAAGATTTTAATAAATGTTGTTATTAGTCTTTTTCTTACTCTAAGGTATACAAGTAGACATTGGAGGCAGGGGAGACAAAAAACACCCTTAAACTGGGCGTTAAATTTTGCATGTATGTAAGAACTTTTTCTTAGGAAATGAAATTCATGGCTACCAGATATTAGAAGCAGTATATAAACTCAAAATAATTTAAAATTGCTTCCCTAAAATTCACAGATTACTGAAAACCAGAGTTTTCAGTAAAACAAAGCAGAAAACTAGAGCTGAATAGGATTTTAAAAAACATACACACACAAATACTAGAGTTGAATATGCCAGGAATAATTAGTTTAAATCACATGGATATATTCTTTTACCTAGAATAAAAGGAATAAATTTGACCCAATAATAAGCTAACAAAGAGAAGAACTTCTGTTGACAAATTTTCAGACAATAAGAAGTGGCAGCAGAACAGAAGGGCCAAAATTAAGCCAAAGAAATAAGATAGCCTCTTTGGATCACATTTCCCACTGTCTTCATTAAGAACATCTGCCACAAAGAAAAGCAATACAGAGAATAAAGGTAACTCATGGATGCAATTCGAGTTTAGAAAAAAAAATCTCACTTGTCAGCACTAATTGTTCTTGGGGGGGGGCGGACAATAAACGATCCAAAGAGGCAAATAACATGGCCAATTTGCATGGTCCTCTTAGTATTGATAGACTCAGAAATCAGGAGACAGGTGGCAAGCTCCTCCTTCCACATGAGTGGGAAAAGGCTTAGGGACATTGAAGGAAACTAGGTATATCCAATGTGAAATTTTTCCCATCAATGATTTAGGGTTTAGAAGAGGGAAAGAACCCAACCACTTTCCCACTTGTTTAGGATATAAATAAATGTTTAGCCTTAAGAGTTTGGGTACTATTTTCCAGCAATAAAAAGATCCTCTATGAAACTAAAATAAGAGGAGGGAATGAGACTAAGATTTACCACAAGCCTACTATGTGCCAGACCCTTTAATCTTATTTAACACTTCACAAAAATCTTGTTATTAAGAAATTACCATCCCCAATTTACACATGAGAAAACTGAGGCTTAGAGAAGTTAATTAACTTGATCAAGGTCATCCACCTAATAAGTGGCAGAGCTGGGATATGGACCCAGATTTTCCTGATTCTAAAGGTTATTTTTTTCCTTCTATTCTAACCTATCTTCCCAAGTTATGTGAGCAGCTGTGAAAAAAAATTGTATAAAGATTTTTCTATACCTGGTATTCATCTGGGACCCTCCAAGAGGATATGAAGGCTCCATCATAGCTGGTGAATGATTTATTCAATTTCAAATGCTCAGTATCCTAAAGAAGAGAATATTACTAATGAGTTAAAAAAAATAAAAAATAAGAAACATGATTTAACCACTTATTAACAAATTAAAGACAAAATTAGGCTACTTATATAAAGTGTCTTCGTCTATAGATTAATAAGATAAAATGCTTGTGGGTTCAGATCATTTTCATACTTTATAGTCATTCTGCCTATAAATTAATGTTAATATTTATTCTAGGCAGCAAAACCTACCAGTATATCTATTCATTAAAGAAAGCACAGATTCTGCCCCAAGATCACTGTATCAATTAAGCGAGCTAGGTAAGGCAGGTGCTATTTAATATATAAGATTTTGACTAAAAGCCCCAAATATTAAAAAAACACACAAAGCAGCATATAGGAATAATTTGGGCTAGATATTTATTGGGTCTATAATGAAGTCAACGAACATTCAATCTTGTGGAGATGGAAAATAAAAACTGACTTGTGTCAGTGCAGTCAGTGGTCTCTTTTGGCTCCACCCGCCCTGAGTACTCTGAGCACTACCACTGCTTCCACACCCAACTGTATACAGCAAACTTCCACCTTCCACCTCTTTTCTGAGTTTCAAACCCATACTTCTAATTGTCCACTGGGTATCTCCATCTAAATATTATCAAAGCAAAATACAGACCTCAAAGTCCTTTCTTTGCAGTTCAGTATTTCCTATATTCTTTTATTTTTGTCTTACGAGTTCTTTACACCCTATACCCTCCATTTCAATTCTAGCCAAAAGGAACTGTGTGAAGATAAGGGAGGAAAGAGTTACTAATGTAGGTATAGAAGTCATTTAGAAGAGATTTTTTTAGATAAAGTCAGAGGCTGAAAATATTTACAAGAACAAAATCCTTCCGAAAGTGCCCTTGTAAGGTTGACTAAAAAGTCCCTCCTGGAGGTATCTGGATGTCATGCAGAGCTTCTATGGGTGCAGGTTTTAAACTCTAAAGCCCTTCTATGACGCTTGGTTGTCAAGGATAACAGTATTTAGCTTCTTGATCACTGTAACTCTAGGAAGTATATAAAGTGCCATTTTTTTTTCATTAAACAGAAGAGGTTTAAAACTCCATATATGCCTCTTCTTTCTTTATAACTTAGGGTAAAAAGATAATGTTGATCCATTTCTCATTTTAAAACAATACACATGAGACAGTTTATTCTGACAGTATCATGCAAGCAATTAAAGCTAGTGAAACGAAAACCACGTAACATCTATACCTAGCAAAACATATTCTCCTTGGACAATGGCATCATGAATCAAATAGAAACCACCAAGTCATCCTTACCTCTCCTTCGTCTTCCCCATAAAACTTCTGTCTTTCCATCTCCACTTAGTTCCTGACTTCAACTCATCAGATTTACTGTAAAGTCCCCACAGCGCTGCTGGAAAGTTATTTCTACATAAATCTGATCTAATTATTCTCCTGCTTTAAAAAGTCGACGGCTCTTATACAGGATAAAAAACCATCACAATCTGGCCCACCTTTTCCAACTGTATTCCTTATCCACTCATCCTACATCCCAGTCCAACTGAACTACTAGCGGTTCCCCGAGTTCGAGCGTCTGCGCAGGCTGTCCCTTGTATTTGGAATGCCCTGGTAAACGCCCATCATGCTTCACAACCCAACTCTAACACCACTTCCTCTGTGAATGAAACCATCTCCTAGACACCACGGTGATGTTATTTCCGACCGTGTTCATACACAGAGCACTATCACACTTGCTTTACACATAACTTACAGTAGACTACGAACTTAGAACATTAACCGATCCCTTACTAAGCAGCTGTCTGTGCTAGATACGGTGAGAAATGCAAGAACGAGTATACAGGGTTTCAGTCCTCAAGCAAATTTCACAGTGAAAACAACTATAAATGGCACGATTTCAACTGAAAACCTCTTTCACATACCTACGCGACAATGATTCCCCAGGAATTCGTGGTCCGCTTATTTCTCCCACTAGTTCCCCTTCACGTCATCGGCCCAGGCTCCTGAACTGCTGAAGTCAACACAGGGTCCTGAACGTTGCCCACCGTCCTTTGCCGGTCCCTGCAGCGGCTTTTCAGTGAAAGCCGAAGCATGAAGTTCGACTCCCTGCAACCTCCGCCGAGTCCGGGTCTGTTAGCTGAACTTGAACAGAGGCCAGCTGCAAAGAACGCCTCCACCGACTCCGCCCAGGGACGTTGGGGTCGCGGGAACTGAGGCGGCAACCAGCTCGTCAAACCAAAGCCCGCGCCGAGCCTGCTGACTGGTCGGAAACCCGACCCAGCAGGGTGCAGGGGCGGTGCTGGAGGCATGACGTACAGACTCTGCGACGCGCCTGGCGCGCCAGCCAATCAACACACCGCGCAGGGGCAGCATTCGACCAATCCCACGCCTCTTTGGAGACGTGAGCGCGACACTGGCGTTCCCGGATCAGGTTCCCGAGGATTTAAAACACTTCATTTTTTTTTTTTTTTCCTCGTCAACGGTTAAGTTCCGGGTTGGGGCGGGCTTTGCACACGCGCAATGAAAAGCCCAGCCGGGACGAAGTGAGCGTAGCCGAGGGAGCCAGAGCTCGCTGAAACCCTTTCCTTGAACCGGCAAAATAGAGAGGGAGCTAGATTTCTTCCGCTTTCTTTCTTAAGAAGCGTCCTCTCGTCTCCATAACAAACATTTAAAAAAAGTTTCTTCATATATAAATGGAATATGGTATTTATATATGGCATACGTGTATATATGGCATATGGTATTAATATTGGTGTCATAATTTATAGTTATCTCCACAACCAATGTTGGTAATTGGGCTTCTCCGCCATTATCTTATATAATTGTCGTAACAGGCAAAGTAGAGCGGTATTAACCCTGTTCAACAAGGGAGAAAACTTAAAAAGATCAAACAGCCTGTGAGTGCAGAGTCAGAATTTGAAATTCCACTTCCTTTTTTGTAGTTTTTTTAATAACTACTTTAAGATATGGGAAAGTGAAATGTAAGATTATATGAATTAGACGAAAAAGGAGGGATGAGCATACCACATAATTCCCCACTCTCTAGGTGTGGGCCGGGCATAGTGACATCCTTGCAAAGGAGGGGGCCAGAGAGTAACTTTACAGTGGAGAAATCTGACCGACAGACTTCACTTTCACGTAATCAAGGCTAACTAATAGTCACGAGTCATGCTGATAGTACGTACACTCATGCTGTGATAAAAATGTCACTTTATCTCTAGTCTTCCTTCCAATAACGCATAACCTCAGTCCTGAGAAAAACATCAGACTAATTCCAATCCTGGGGAATCCTATAAAATCCCTGACCTGAACTCAAAACTATCAAGGTTATCAAAAGCAAAGGAAGTCTGAGAAACTAGCCAAGAGGCGCCTAAAACAATATAACTAAATGTAATATGGTATCGTGAATAGGATCATGGAACAGAAAAATAACTAGATTAAAAACTAAGAAAATCCAAATAAACCAAGTACTTTAATTAATAATATTGTACCAATATTGGTTTGTTAATTGTAACAAGTGTACCATACTAAATATGTTAATAATAGGGGAAGCTGTGTGTATAGGGAAGTTTGTACTACATTCTCATTTTTTTCTGTAAATCTAAAACTCTTCTAAAAAGTAAAGTCCGTTAAAAAGTTAAAAGGAAGGGGTTAGAGGAGAGTTGAAGCATATGCTACTTTTTTGAACAACAATAAAACAAAATATCTTGTTGTTTACTAATAACTCAAATACTAAAAATAACTTCAATTAAACATTTTATTACTATTGGACTTCTAAGCAGGATATACATTTGATGTTATGCATAGAGTAGATGCTTTTTTAATTGAATGAAAAGGAAAAGTAACTTCATTTTAGGACTGGAATGACTCAGCCTTATATTTAGTTCAGCTTGGAGGTGCCTAAAGGGGTTATTTTCTAGATACTAATTTTCAAATTATAGTATAATGTAACAAGCACTGGCTTTGGACATCTGGCTCCAATTCTGCCATTTAATCTAAGATTGATTTTCCTTTTTGATATATTATACATTATCATAAAAAAGATCGAATACATAAAGAATGTAAAAGTTAATTAAAAGCTGCCCATATATTATTATTCCAGGTGTACTAAGAATTGACAGTGTTAATAAATAACACATTGCTGTAGATTCATAGAAATTAAGGGAACTGATTTGTTAAATTACAAAAAGAATAAGCTTAGTGAAATAAAATCTACAAATGCTAAAACAAGGACCTACTACACACTAAGCTTTGTGCTAGATGGAATGGAGAATTGGAAGGACGTGACAAGCATAGAACAAGGAAGGCACAATTTTATAGACAGGGTAATAGGTAATTATCCAAAGCAAATATGAGTTACTGTTAGATTGTAGGCCAGTTTAAACAGACTGAATATATACTATGTTATTCTTTAATCCCTGTTTATATATATTTATGTCATTTCAAGACACTATGGAATTGTTATGGCTATTGGCCCTAACAGAGAAAAGCTACCAGTTTTATTTTTCAAATTTGCAAGTGCTGTAATTTTCTTCACAGTGAACCATTTCCAGGATGTTACACTTTTTAATGTATAAATTTGCACAAACAATGCTATAAGAAAAATATTGCAAATGAAAAAAATCATCCAAAATTCTACATCCTAACACATCAATTGTCTTCATTTTTTTCACTTTCCTTTTTAGTAACTGTCTACGTGGCATGGTCTTTATGATTAGACTGGGTAAATGTTCAGTGTTATAAATGCTGACGTGCCTGCTAATAGGCTTGCTGTGGGAATTAAAGACCTATTGTTATCACCAGGAACAGGGAAGTTGGAATCAGTTATCAATTCTGCTACTCATTTACTAAATTTTTCCAACACCCAACTTTCCCTTCCTATATTTACACTTCTGAGCTAAGCTGACTGCTTTTTAAAAATAACTATAGTTTCACTTTTAAGGAACATCATATTTTTAAGGGGGATTGCTAATCTGTCAATTTATATAAAATTCCTTTGAGATTCTTAAGCCTCTCATTAGAAGCGACAATAACAATTTATGTGTTAAGTAATGTTGACTTATTTTACTTATTTTTTAAAGCTTGGATTGTTTGGAATAAAGACTAAAATAAGGAAATAACACACACCAGTAAATTCTCTGAAAGTATTTCCTAATCTGAGTTAAGGTACCATCAACCTGATTTTGCATTCAAGGAAACTAGCTCCTTTGTCATAAATTAATTGACCACATATGCATGAGTTTATTTCTAAGCTTTCTACTCTGTCTCATGATCTATGTGTCTGTTTTTATGAAAATACCATACTGTTTTAATTACCATAGCTTTGTAACATAGTTTGAAACTTATTAGTTCTAACAGTTTCCTATATATAATGACATGTCATCTGTAAATAGTGAAAGTTTTACTTCTTCCTTTCCAATTTGGATGCCTTTTTTTTTTTTTTTTGTCTAATTGCTCTGGCTAAGACTTCTAATACTATGTTGAATAAAAGTAGATCATGGTATAGGATCCTTCTAATGTATTGTTGAATTCAGTTTGCTAATATTTTATTGAGGATTTTTACATCTATGTTCATCAGCAATATTGCCCTGTAGTTTTCTTTTTTTGTGGCATCCTTGTCTGGTTTTGGTATCAGTGTAATGCTGGCCTATAAAATGTGTTTGGAATAGATCCCTCTTCTCTGATTTTTCTTTTTTTTTTTCTTTGTTGAGAAAGATTGGTATTAGTTCTCCTTTGAATGTTTGGTAAAATTCACCAATGAAGACATCAGATTGGGAGGTTTTTGATTACTGATTCCATCTCCTTGCTAGTAATCTACCTGTTCAGATTTTCTTATATCATTATAATTCAGTCTTGGTAGGTTTTATGTTTCTATGAATTTATAAATTTCTTCTAGGTTGTCCACTTTGTTGGTGTATAATTGTTCATAGTAGTCTCTTATGATATTTTGTATTTCTGTGGTATTAGTTGTAACATCTCTTTAATTTCTAGTCTAAATCTTCCAGGAACCTCCTTCCAGGAGCTCCCTTAGAAGAGTGAATCATGTTACAACAATAAATACATTGTCATGCTGTATAAAGAGTAATGAGACATAGTCCCTTCCTTCAAGGAACTCTCAATCTATTGTGGAGATACACAATACACCACAGTGCTACAACAGAAGGTAACAAAGGGCAGAGTAAGTGGGGAGGTGGTGTGTGTAGAAGCATAAAAGAGGGGCACCTAACCCAGTCTTGGGTATTTAGAGAGAGCTTCCTGGAGGAGGTAAAATCTGAGTTGAATCCTGAAAAATGAATAGCATATATCAGCAAAGAGGTGTGGTGAAGAATGGGAAAGTGAAAGTATGGGAACAGATGATCTATCTTTAAAGGGCAGTTATGATCAATAGGACAAATAAATGGTGACAGGGCCCTATTTCTGAAGCGACTACAGACTTCACTAGGAACTTAACTATATACAGGGAATAGTATGCATGCGCTGAATGTATGCCCAAAAGACTAATGTACTTGATGATAAACAAACACATGTGGGTAGGAGTGGGTTTTGAGGATACCTCTTGTTACACATCTTTCTGAGATCAGTCTTTTCATCTGTAATACAACTTACTTTGAAGGGATTTCATGAGTATGGAACTTTTTATCTCACAAGGTATTAGTATTGTAGAGAAAGAATGCAGATTTTGAAGCCATACACGCTGAGTTTGAAATTCACTTTGCTATCTACTGATTATGTGGTCTTAAACAAGTATTTCCACTTCCTGGCTTTGTTTCTCCATCTGCAAAGTAACAGTACTAACTTCACAGCATTATGAAGATTTTATAAGGCAAGGCTGATGGTTAGCCAACACACAACTGGAAAGACTCTATTGGTGGTTAAAATCTTGATTTTTTTTCATATGAGTTGGTATATAGCTACTCCCCTGAGCACTTTGTGTACCATTCACCCCTCTCCTGGGACACCAAGGACCTCCCCATGATCCAAAAATCAGAAGGCTGATGTCTAGCATAGCAAATCTTGGCCCAGAAATCTCTACAGATATTCTGATTATACTGATTATTAAAAAGTTTGAATATCATCACACAAAAAAATATAAATGAAATGTCTGGTACATAGTAGATATCCAATAGATATTCATCCAATTTATTTAATCTGTGGATTCAGTCTATGGGTTTAGATAATGAATGGCACTCTACTGGGTAACATCACTTATTCAATATATATTTATTGAGGCATATTATTATTGAAGGTCTGTTGTTTGCATTTAGGTAGAACTCACTGCTTCTCTGCCACCTCCAGGGGGTAGGAACACTATTATAAGGCTAAGAAGACAAAATGATTTTGGAGGGCAGAAAATAGGATCAAGATGCTAAGATTTAGACCTTTCACTATGGACAAGAAAGGGGCTTAAATGTTCAAGTGTCCCCTGGCCAGGCATGGCTCAGGGGTTGAGCGTCAACCTAAGATCCAGGCGGTAGGGGTTTGATTCCCGGTCAGGGCACATGCCAGGGTTGCGGGCTTGATCCCCAGTTGGGGGTGTGCAGGAGGCAGCCAATCAATGACTCTATCATCATTGATGTTTCTATCTCTCTCTCTCCCTTTCCTCTCTCTGAAATCAATAAAGATACATTAAAAAAAAAAAAATAGTTCAAGCATTAGAGTAGCATGGGTTGGGAGCCTTTCTTTGAGCTTGGATTGGACTTCTCACACTAGGCATGTTGCCAGGTCAGGGGTCAGCAAACTATAGCCTGTGAGCACCTGTTTTGGTATAGCCTGCAAGCTAAAATGGTTTTTGCATTTCTAAATAGATGAAAAAGTAAAAGAAAGTGTATTTTGAGACAAATGAAAATTATACGTAATTCAAATTTCAATATATAAAAAGTTTTATATAACCACACTTATTCATTTATGTATTGTCTAGGTCTGCTTTTGCACCTACAGTGGCAAAGTTGAATAGTTGCAACAGAGATATGGCCCACAAATCCTAAAATATTTATTATTTAGCTCTTTACAAAAAAGAGTTTACAAATCCCTGTGCTAGTTACCAGGGACATGCCCTCAAGAGGCTTAGTAGCAGGAATTGGATAACTGTTCCTTTTCTCATCAAAGAACATGAAGATGGTAGGACCCTAGAGATCATTTACCAGGGGTGGGGAATGTCGGGCCTGCGGCTAGGGCAGATGAATCCTAGTTCTATAACAATAACAGTAACATGAGACATGAATTCAGAAGCCCTGAATTCCAACTCCTGCTGGTTAATGGCTGTATGCCCTTGGACAACGTTTGGCTTCAGGTTTCATTTGCAAAATGAACATAATAGTAACATCTATGTCACTAGGTCAATAAAATAGTTATAGAGTTCAATAAACAATAAAAAGGAATTCATGAAATAATATGAATAAATTATTAATAAGATTTCTTCAGCTATGATAATCTGAGATATTCTATTCTCTCCTCTGTGGTGGGAAGGAAAAGGTAGAAATTGTGGGAAGGAAGGAAATAGGAACTGAAGGGGGAAAGGATAAGAGGGGCAAAGAAAAATAAGAGGGTAGGGAGGAGAGGAAAAAGAAATGAGATGGGGAGGAGGCTGAAGATAGTGAGGGAAGAGGAGAGGTGTAATGGAGGGAAAAGGAGAGTGGGGGTAGCCAGAGAGAAGGCTGTGCCACCATCCTCCCCTCCTATGTGCCATCATTTCCCAGCCTTCTGTCACTCTGCCCTCAACAACTTAGTTCCTCTCTCACAGTCTCTCTCTTTACTCTAATACTCCCTGACTTAAGCTTCTACTTGGATAATAAACCTAGCACTCTGGCCTCTCAGTTCCAGCAACAGGGCATTCATTCTGCCTCAGCCTTCTGTTCCCTATGTCTCACCCTACAAGGGCTCACCTTGGATATTGACATCACCAGAAACTCACAACCTCTGAAATCTCAATTCCAAATATCTCATTCAGACCACCAGCATCTCTACTGCCAGTTCACTTGCTTAAGTACCCTACTGCAACCATTATTTGATAGCAATGCTTCTAATTCTTTGGCTCCTTTCCGGGCTCCCCTCACATCCCCACTATCAACACTCACATACCAAAATTTGCTTTCTATATAGTTTTGAGCCCACATACATCATCATAAACATACTGTTGCAAACACCCTCTTGGTCCTTTCTCCTTCTGTTGTACTTGTTTGGCAAAACTCCTACCCAGGATAAATTCAACAACTTGTCTTCTCTATGCCTGCACCTGAACAGTCAAACATCTTCAAATATTTTAAATCCATGATCTTGGTAAAATTTATGACAGAGACCTTAACCCACACATAATCAATAGGTAGGGCCTGTGGGAGGAGCTAGGGCCTGTGGAAGGAGCTCTAGAGCAGTGCAATCTCTTCACATGGTTAGCTGTTAACCCAAAGGTCAGGGAAGAGCTCTTGGGGGTGATGCAGAAATTGTGAATCCCAGCCTGACCTGGGGACTGGCTTATGGTAGTTTGTGCACATGACTCACCATGTCTATACATACTGGATTACAATCCTTTCTTTTTTCCTGAATCTTTTTTTTTTTTTTTGTGATGGAATGCCTAGTTGATTCTGTTTTTTCGTTTTTTGTGTTTGTTTTTTTAATCCTCACCTGAGAATATTTTTTTCCACTGCTTTTCAGAGGGAGTGGAAGAGAGAGAGAGAAACATAAATATATGAGAGAGACATCGATTGGTTGCCTCCCACTTGCTCCTGACCAGAAACAAACCCAGGACCCTGCAGTCCTCAGGCCTATCCTCTCACCACTGAGCCAAACCAGCCAGGGCATGATTCTGTTTTATAGTTGACAAACTCAAACACCAAATGAGTTCGTAATATTGCTCAGAAGTCCTACTGCTTAGTTTTCTTTAGAAAAACCAATTTTCCCCACTCTCAAAGATGTCCATTTCATACCTTCTCTCTTCTCAAACATCCGACTCCCTTCCTCTTACCCTCAGCTGATATTGCCTTTTCTTTACTGAGAAAATAAAGTTACCAAACAGGAATGCTTCCTTACCTTCAAATTTTCCTGTAACTGTACCTTTCTTGTAACTCCTATTGTAAATGAACTTCTTGGTCTCTGAGACGTTTTAAGTAACCTAAGGCCCTTCATGTGCCCTTTGGAACCCATCTGATTTTTCTTCTCAAGGGGTTACCTCTCTTGCTTTCTTTCATATCAATCTTAGTAACTTAAATACAAACTCTAGTACAGCATTGCTCAATAGAACTTTTTGTGATGATGGAAATGTTCTGTATGTGCACTGTCCAGTACAACTGAGCACTTGAAATGTGGTTAGTATGACTGATGAACTGAATTTTTAATTGTATTTAATGTAGTTAATTTAAATAGCCTTATGTAGCTAGTGGGGGCTACCCTATTAGATATTATCACTCCTAATGTCATCCCAAATAAACTAAGCCTTTACCCCTTATTCACTCTATTGTCTTCAGTTCCTCACCTCCTAGCCACTCCTCTTTCAATCTACCTTCAAATTAAACTACCTTGCCAAATCCAATCTTTTTGTACGCATTTCCTTTTAACACAGTGTTGACCACTGTGTCACCAAAATCCCACCCCAAGTAGTCTGGGGAAACACATCACATCCTTTTTTTTTTCTTTTTTTTAAATAAAGGGAGCCCAAGGTGAATGATAAGAGAGTAAGAGAAAATTTCACATTTGTATATATTTTTATTGATTTCCAGAGAGAGAGGAAGGGAGAGGGAGAGAGAAACATGGATGCAACAGCGAGGTGGGTTGGCTGGGCCGCACCCGCCCCTCACCAGGAGGGGGGCAGAGGGCATGGAGCCCGGCAAGTGCCCGTCGAAGCTGAACCAGCCCCCCCCCNAGAGAGAAACATCGCTGGTTGTCCCCCGCAGGCACCCGGCCGGGGACTGAGCCTGCAGCCTTTTGGTGTATGGGGTGACACTCCAACCAACCGAGCCACACTGGCCGGGGCTGCGAGGCTACATTTTCATGGTTTCCCTCCTACCTTTCTGGCTCTTCCTTTTCAGGCTCCTCCTCCTCTCCAACTTGTAAAGGTCTGTGTTCGTCAAGAATCGTTCCCTAGGCTCTTTTTCTTTTCCTTTGAGATTTTTCCTTCATGCAGGGGGCAGAGAAATGGAGTTATAGTTAAAGAGCGTCCCAGTGCAACTAGAATGTAACCCAACTCCTTTCCATAGCTCAAGGGCCTGGACGACCTGCCGCCGGTCTCCCGCTCCCACCTGCCGTTCTCCCGTCGTTCACACAGCTCTGGTCTCACTTGTCTTCTCTAACAAGCAATTTCAGGGGGTTCGCACTCGCTTTTCCGTTTTTGTGGGACACTCTATCTAGTCTTTGCCTGGTTTTGCTTTCCAATCCTTACGTCGGGCTTAAATGTCACCTCTTCAGATGTCTTCTCTGGCTATTTTACCCAAATTATTCATCCCTTGATATGCCTTCAAATCTCATTACTATTTGTATTTATTTTTTTCTTTGTTTGTCGCTATTTGTATTTATTTACTTATTCGTGCGTTGACTTGTTCAGGTCGGCGGCCTCCCCACTGGAATTTAAACTCCCCGGGAACAAAGGCAACAGGTTCTGCTCTCGAGCGTGTCGCCTCAGACCAAGCACAGGCCTGACCCAGGGATGCGCAGGAGGAACCGACACGTGGAACCAACGAAAGAGCGGGCAGAGGAGCTGGGAGGAGAAGGGGCCCAGCCCTGCCCGGCCCAGCCCAGGGGGGCACCCAAGAGTCCCAGCCCCGCCAGCAGTGAAGCCCCTCCCCTTCCGGCTACGGCGCGGACGCCCCGGCGGCCAAGGAGGCGGGGCCGTGGCTAGCGCTGGCTCGGCCGGCCCCCTTCCCTCCGCTCCGCCCTGCGCCTCAGCGGGCCAAGCTGCTGTCAGCTTCCTTAGCGCTGGTCGATACGCTGTGTATGCTGAGCGGCTGCGTCCGCCCGCTGCTGCACGTCCTGGGCCTTCGTTTCCCGTTCGTGATCCGCCGGTCGCTTTTCCTCCGCCCTCAGCGCCTCATGAAGCCGCTGGTCGTGTTCGTTCTTGGCGGTCCCGGCGCCGGCAAAGGGACCCAGTGCGCCCGCATCGTCGAGGTGAGGCCCGGGCAGCTAGAAGTCTTCAGGGCTTGACCGGACACCCGGTAGGCTTGTTCCTTCGCGCCCGAAGATCCGCGCCCCCCGGAGCCGCGGCGCTGCGGACTACGAGTCCCGGCGACCGTCGCGCATCCGCCTGGCGGTGGTTGGGGGTCCGCCGGCGCGCAGCACGTCGGGACTGGTAGTTCACCTCCGCCCGCCTTGGGGGCGCGGGGAATGAAAGGAGCTGCTTGGGGTCGCTTTGTTCCTGCGCCCCTCTTATATTTTGGGACCAAGTTCGTCTCGAGAGTGGGCTGGGAGAGGAACCCCGGGAGGGTCAGCATCCGGGGGCCCTCAGCGCGCAGAGGTCAGCATGGCTCTGGGAGTGGAGCAAGTGAATGCAGCAGGAGCGCGGATTTGGCTAGAGGCGGCGTGCGCCCACAGAGGCTTGCCTGGAGGAGAGACCGGTTTTTCTACTCTGCCCCTTCCCGTGGGCTCTCTAAACTAAGCACCCTCAACTAACCAACCTTTACCCTAGAAAGCAGTCCTGGCGGACAGGCTGTTACGTTAGATTTTCCGTGATCTGCCAAAAGCACATTCTGGCCCTTTGAATTGGCAGTACCAATCCTGACGCCCAGCCTGAGATCGTGTAGGGAAAGCCACGGGGCCCAGTACTGAGATCAAGCTTCAACCTCAGGCCCTGCTACCAACTCACGCTTTGCCCATGGCCAAGTCACTTCCTCTCGCTGAGTCTCAGTTGCTCTCTCTAGCACATAAGAGTCGTACACCTAGTTTTAAAGTCACTATAAAATACCTCCCAACTCTGAAATTGTGTTACTTTTTTTTTTTTTTTGCTTCAAGTGGTGATAAGGTTACCATTTCAATTCTGTTAACAATTTTCGAACAGATACGTGGTTACCTGCAGTGACAGTGAGAAATACTTATTGCAGAGTATGGGGAATACTTGGGAGAGAAGAAAAACAAGCTATGTAGAAACAGAAGAGGCTACCAGAGATGCTGTGGAACACCCAAACAGTCCCTGTGAAACTCGGTGACCATCAAAAGTTTTGACCCAGAACTTATAAAATAATTCCCTCCTCTGTTGCATGATGTGGCTTATTTTTCGCATTGGGCCTTTACTCCTCTCCTTCTGTGTTCATACAATTCACTTCTGTCCTATATTTTATTCTCTAAAGAACATCCAGATTAAGTCAGATGGTAACATCTACTTCATTATATATTCTACAGGTGTATTTATCATTATTGATTATTTTTAGGAATAAAAGTGGAACTAATTAAACCAAAAAATACATAAATATTTTTTGTCCCATTTTTGTTGGTTCTTTTCACTGTTTAGAAGACAAGTGGACAATGGATGATTTCAAGTTTTTGTTTTATGTATGAAATGACTCATATGTAAATAGTATGAAAGAGGAAGGAGCAACGACTTTAAAATCAAACAGATGTGGGTTCAAACCCTAACTGCCATTTACAGTTTCTTTAGTTCCAGAGAAGTTACTTTTAGCTCAAGTTTCTCTGTAAAAGGGAGAAATAATATCTATCTAGAATGGTATTCATGAATACTAAGTGAAGTAAAATCTCTGGCACACATAGTTGCAAATAATTTTTTTCTCAATATTAGCCTTCCTGTACTTAATTTATGAGATTGGTTATTTTTACTTTGTAGTTGCGTTACTTTTTAAAAATTAGCTTATGACCGTTATATTTGAATGCATTTCAATATTTTGTTTCTGAATCCTAAAGTGGCTTTAAATGTCCACACCCAAACTAATAGTACCTGTGTTACTGCACTGGATTAAAAATAATCTCCACATTCTGTAACTAGTATTTATTATCATCTCTGGTCAGTAAGGGCTGATGATATTTTAAACATGTTAATTAGTATTATAAGATTTCTCTGATGAGATATGTTTTATAATCTTATTCCTTAAGATTTCAGCAATTATATGAACTTAAACTTTTAAACTGTCATCTTTCATGAAAATAGTTACTCTTGATTCCAATTACCATAAACATTAAGTTGATATCTATAAATTCCAAATAGTTTATAATTTAGTAATTACTATCCTCCAGTTGACTAAATAAACAATGGAATATCTATGGTCAATTAAATCAGAGGGTTATTTTTCTTTCTTTTTTTTATGAGTCCCTTGTATTTTGATTCAATATTTTATTATACAGGCAAACATTAGCTGAATCCCAAAAGATTGTAATTTTTGGAACTGAATTTTTTCCTGAGGGAAAAAGCATTATAAACAGGGTTAAATTTCCCAACTGTCATGCCAATGCTAATTTAGTTCACAGAAGCCCTGAAATGTGGCTGAAATAGAATTCTTTCTTTGGGAAAAGTACATTGATTTCCAACTCGGGCTGCCAGAGTACATTTTAGGGCCCTGGCTACTGATACAGTATCTTCTGAAAGTGTTCTGACCTGGGAAGGAAAGGTTTGAGGGGTTTAGTTTTGACTTTGCCCATTTATTTGGTCTTTTTCAGTTTTGTTTTATTTTCTAACTAACTGTTTCTATTTTCTGTGTCCTCTCATACCCATTTTGTTTTTGAAAATTAGCCATTTTTAAAATCAGTGCATTTCTTTTACTTAGTGTTCAGGGTAGGGTTGTTGTGGAATAACTTGTTACTAAACAATCATGGGGATACTGCCTTATTTTTGAATTTTTAAAATGAAACATTATTTATATTGTTTTGACTCAAGAAAAATCATGGTGCCATAACCTAAACTTGTCTTTGAAAATAAGAACTACAGTTTTGCATGTGTTAGCTGGAAGAGATGTTTAAACCAACTCTCTTTAAAAGATGATGAACATTTTGCTTACATAAACACATTATGGTAAAGTTTATATCCATGCCAAATTGCTTTCTATAGCACCCCAAAGACATTCTTATCTTCTGTGTCATAATGTCCAAGCTTTGCAGGTAACTCATACTTTGGCAACCCTACGTACTATCCTTAGAATGTTTGGGGTGATACTGACTTTAAGCATGTAGAAATCAGAAACTTGATTTTACTTATCTTTGTGTCTCAATGTTGAACATTGTGCCTGGCACATAGTACATGCTTAATAAGTGTTCTTTGAACATTTTTAGAAGATACTAGTTTGTACTAAAGATGTAAAAAATTTTTAAATTTGATCCCCAGGGGGCGCCCAAGTAGCAGTTAACTCTCCCAATTTCAGGATAGAAGGGTTTGAAGGAGACCTAGTTCTGTCTTAACTCAAGTTTCTTGTGTAACACTTTTGTTTACTCTCAGTGAATAAATGGTATGGTTGTGAAAATCTGAGCATTCTAAAATTTCCAAGCTCCTGATTACAAATCCCTGAAGCAGATTACCATTCATAGAAGAAACTAGATAGGAAAATCTACTGGACAGTAAGCTGAAGAATAAGCCTTTCTCCTTTTGCTGGGGTAAAGTGGAATAAGATAGGCTTTTTGTTTTGTTTTGTTTGTTTTGCTTTGTTTTAAGGAAGTTTAAATCATCTGTGATAAAGATAGTTCACAGAATTCTTGACTTCTGAAGCACCACCACCTTTTCATTTAAAGAGGTTTTAGCATAGGATTTTTTTGTTAAGAACTTGGAGGGAAGACTGTATTCAGATGTTACTACCCTTCCTTTTGAAATCTTCCTCATTTTTTTTTCCTTTCTATTTTATGTTACAAAAGTTACATACTAGTTGGGAAAAGTTAATCTCTAATCTGAGGTCACTAGTATTAACAGTCTGGTATTAACTGCTTCCCTGTCTCTTAATATTCTTACAAATAAAAATTCAAATATTTATTGTTTTTATCTCCAGGTGAGATTATTCTGTTTTCTACAGAATGTATTAAGGATATCTTTTCAGGTCTTTATATATAGATTTAATTCATTCTTATTAGTAGGTGCAGAATATTCTATAAATTGGACATTACATAGGATAGTTGTGCCATTCCCCTATTAATAAACATTCGGGATAGTTTCCAGGAATTATTTTGCTGTTGCAAACAGTGCTTCAGTGAACTTCCTTGTAAATGTAACATTGCATATGGATACTTTATTTTTGTCAATAAGGTTCCTAAAAGTAGGTGTGACCCGAAAAGTTGTGGTTGGCTTTAGTGCAAAATAATTCACATATCACTGAGGCACATCTTGGAGTGACTCATTCTGAACCCTTACATAGGATTGCTGAGTCAGGTGCATTTTTAATTTTAATTGATAACTATCAGATTACTTTTCAAAAACATGTACTTGTCATATTTATATCAGCAGTGTATTGATTCTTTACCAGCACTGGATGATTATCATTTTTATTTTTGCAAATTTGTAAATTTTTTTCTAAAGTTTTTCTGAGTAAATTTCTTGTTTTTTCCAAGAAGCTTATTAAGGTGAAATGGCATAAGTAGTCTTTTTTTTTTTTTTAATTCTCTGTATTTGTCATCTATTTAGAAAACATTTTTTTGAGAGCTAGACTCTGTGATAGTTGCTGAGATGAATGAGGCATAGGCCCTGCTATCAGAAGTTTATAGTAAGTGGGAAGACAAGGAATTTAATCAGTGACTACTACAGGATAGAGTGGTAACTCCTATGATAGAAATATACCAGATATACCATTTAGATGAGGGACATTATCAATTACAGTCGAGCGGGTTATGGAAGTCTTCCCAAGGCAGGTGATATGTATGAGCTCAATTTTGAAAGACAGTAGGAAAGAAGCAACTGGGAGATGTGAGGGAGTGGAGAACACTTAAAGCACAGTTACCCTTGCACAGGGTAACAGGGTAATTGGAGGTTTCATTTCTGAGAAAAGCCTAAGGAGAGTAAAGTGCTATTGAAAAATGAAAAAAAAAGGAAAAAAGTGCATTGACACAGAAATACTTCCTGAATGCAAACTGTGCTGTATCTGTGTGCAGGGATACAGGTTTCTAGGGGCTCTCAATTTAGAGTGGAAATAGACACACAGTTAAATAGAATTTCATGAGAAAAGATATGATAGATTTTTGCAAATATTAAA